GAAGAGGGTCAAGATAAACATTTGCAAGGACATGGAGAGGGTCATGATAAACATGTACAAGGACATGGAGAGGGTCATGATAAACATGTACAAGGACATGGAGAGGGTTAAGATAAACATGTACAAGGACACGAAGAGGGTCAAGATAAACATGTACAAGGACATGGAGAGGGTCATGATGAACATGTAGAAGGCCATGTGGAGGGTCATGATGAACATGTACAAGGACAAAGAGAGGGTCAATATAAACATGTACAAGGACATGGGAGGGTCATGATAAACATGTGCAAGGACATAGGGGGTCATGATAAACATGTGCAAGGACATGGAGAGGGTCATGATAAACATGTACAAGGACATGGAGAGGGTCATGATGAACATGTACAAGGCCATGGAGAGGGTCATGATGAACATGTACAAGGACAAAGAGAGGGTCAATATAAACATGTACAAGGACATGGAGGCTACCCGACCACCCCTTCATTTGAAACAGGGTCCAAACAAAGCTACTATAGGACACGGATCCAGGGTAAGTAAAAGAAAAATACCCTGGACAGACGAGGATGTATTTTAGTCAGCAACATTTAAGTTGGTGAACATGGAGTATCAATGAAGCAAAATAGTAATGAAATATTGCAAGGGACTAATTCTTAAAACATTGATTTATTTTTAAAATGTATAATTCAAAACATGGCCAGACTTGTTTTTGAAACTTGATTTCCGAATCCAATTACAACAAATAATTGAAATGTGAAAAAATGAAAAATGAAATGACAATTTATCATTATTCTGCCATTCAGAAATCAGTAAAATGTCAAAAAATTACTTTATTGGTGCTATCAATATAAATAAATTATTTAAAATACTATTATTAAAGTCTGTAGGAAATGTCTCTTAAAAACTTAAAAACACAAGAATTATGAAAAATCGGGAAAGTAAATAAAACAATACATATTACAAATTGGATTTTGTATTAAATTACATCTTTTTTCAAACTACCAACCTAAACAAAAATACATCCATTAAATTGGAGATCGAATATATGCCCCCCCCCCCCCCCCAATCTTCTGGTCGATATGTATATAGAAGTTTTACAGGGCTCTTATCTGTTATCAAACTTTTCTTATATGTAGCTTACCCCATGATTTTTAAAAATAACTTCAAACTAAATCTTGCACCGATGTTTTTTATGTGCCTGATGAAACTAACCCATCAAGTAATCAGCAATAAAAAAGGTATACAATCTTGCACAATACTGTTATTTGGTAAAAAGACTTTAAAAACGTCTGTGTAACATAATAAAATGCAATGCAACTGATGTTTGTGGTAACACGACCGGTAACAGCTGAGAAGGTAACCGAGTCTGACTTAAACCAATACACAGAGAAAACAAATACATTCTGGGACAGGAGGCCACATGATGCTCTTGTATCACAACGGATGACAGGTCAGAGTGTCAGTATATACATATCTGTCATACATAAAACATACGCTCTGTACATCCAGCAATAAGTTACTAAGTGTTCCCGTTTACGTATTGGTGAGGTGAGGTGAAGTGAGCTGAGGTGAGGTGAGGTGAGGTGAAATGGGGTTTAACGTCGCGTCCAAGATTATTGCACTTATATAGCTGCTTGTACTAGTCCGGACTGATGTCGATTTATAGTGCTAGCCCACTGAGATACCATGCCGCAGTTTAACATGAATACCACACTCAGACACAGTATACTGCCTCTGAGCCGACCAGTCCTTGTTTTAGCCGCTTAATGCCCAGCACCAGACAAGGTAACAAACAGGACCATCTTTTAACGTCTTTTGATATGACGCTGCCGGGGATCGAACCCCGACCTTCCTCTCGCCGGGCGCTCTACCACTGGACCAATGGGTGACTTTTTACATATGGAATCCAAGCTTGACAGTGGTGGAGCCAGGATTTTGAAAAAAATAGGCTCCGTACGTGAAGATATACAGGATTTATGTCGGATTATAAACAATGTCTTGTGCCTTTGGCAGGCACATAGGAAAAACATTTGAAAAAAACGAATGGGATTTTTTTTATTACAATTTTTTCAAAGTTAGCATTATTGTAAATCTTAGCATTGTCTTTTATTTAATGCAGTGACGTAAATGTAGCAATATAACACTTAATTGATTCTGGTCTCAGTGAAATACATGTCATCTCCACACTGCCGTGACCTAAGTTACTACTATTTTTTAAACGTTTTTCTTAAATTGTGATGTTTTTCAAACTTGGGGCTGAATATCAGCTTCTGAGCAGGTCTAGATATATCCCTAGGACACAGACAAAAGCTTGACACTAAGGGTGGCTGACAAATGGGGGATGGTTGCTCCCCCGTCAACGGATGTGTTTCAGATGAAGTTTGCGAGGACAGGATGGCGTATTTCACCAGTAATGTAGGAAGGGAACATACAGAGATTGTTTTCATCTGTAGGTAGTTGAGGACATAAAACAATGTGAGGCCGGGTGAAATAAAACATTTTTTAATGGCCTATCCTCAAATAAAAAAAGAAGTTACGCATGAACATTTAAAATGAGCCATAATCTCCTTCCCTACAACATACAGGTTGTACCAGACTCAAGACACGCAGAGTTACGTCCCTTGTGTGAGCATTTAAACATGACGTAAAAACCTTGAGCTGCCCAACCTCAGCTGAATCCAAAGGCCATTTGTCAAAGGAGACCTCCAAACTTTTCCACAGATGGACCCTCTGATTTTTCTTTGAAACTACAGTTTGGGCTTATAGTTTGTATTAGTGGGTTTACAAACATTTTTGCCTAAAATTCAATGTAGGCGTGAAATGTTGTTAAAAACATTTTGAACTCTGAGATTGATATAACAGTACTGCTACCACAGACTTGTTTAAAGGTTATATAGTTCCATGCTGCTACTGATGAATGAAAAACAAACAAGTTCAAACATGGCATGATACTGATAAAATAATTGATTGTTTATTTTTGTTTGAAAAAATATTTTTATAGGTATTCACCATTTCGTATGAACAACATGATAAAATCTAATCACCTAATTGTAAAAGTCAGATCAATTGTCAAAAAGTATTTTTCCCTTCAAATTTCAGGTTTTTTTTGTTGGTCTGTCTAGTAAACCAACTGAAAACTATATGACCTTAGCAGGATCCTGATGCCTGAGTATGTTGAAGCCTACAGTATACAGGTAATGAAAGATAGTCATATAGTCATGGAGGGGACATGGAGAGGGTCATGATGAACATGTGCAAGGACCCAGAGAGGGTCATGATGAAAATGTCCAAGGACATGGAGAGGGTCATGATAAACATGTACAAGGACCCGGAGAGGGTCATGATAAACATGTCCAAGGACCCGGAGAGGGTCATGATAAACATGTCCAAGGACATGGAGAAGGTCATGATAAACATGTACAAGGGCATGGAGAGGGTCATGATGAACATGTGCAAGGACCCGGAGAGGGTCATGATGAACATGTACAAGAACATGGAGAGGGTCATGATGAACATGTCCAAGGACATGGAGAGGGTCATGATAAACATGTACAAGGACACGGAGAGGGTCATGATAAACATGTACAAGGACATGGAGAGGGTCATGATGAACATGTACAAGAACATGGAGAGGGTCATGATGAACATGTCCAAGGACATGGAGAGGGTCATGATGAACATGTGCAAGGACCCGGAGAGGGTCATGATGAACATGGAGAGGGTCATGATAAACATGTCCAAGGACATGGAGAGGGTCATGATGAACATGTCCAAGGACATGGAGAGGGTCATGATGAACATGTACAAGGCCATGGGGAGGGTCATCCACAAATATGACAAGTATTAGGGAAGGGTTATTTTTAGTACGTTTGTGCATCAGAAACCTCTAACCCACCTTCCCTGTACTAAATGACCGGTCCCTATGTTGAGACTGACGTCCACTCTTCAGGACGGCGGGCCTGCATCTGGACACAGACTCGGTAACAGAACAAGTGTGGACACACAGGATTTTGTGTTTTCTACGTTTACAGTTTGGGATCCATATAAAAAATTGTTCAGTCTGCACCAAGATGCCCCCCCAACCCTCTCTGGATCGGTGTATGTACAGGGTAGTCATCATTCACAGGGATAGACATGGCCACTCATCTGTAAGTCCGAGACTAGAGAAAATCTAAAGGGACTAGTTGTTATGTCTCCTAATCTAGTTATTTTACATAAAGCACTAGGCAAGAGGTGCTGTTGTTGTTGTTTGTTGTTTAATGCTGCACTCAGCAATATTCCAGCTACGAGACACGGTCTGTAAATAATCGAGTCTGGACCAGACAATCCAGTGACTGACATCAGGAGCATCATCCACACAGTTGGGATACGATGACATGCATCAACCGAGTCAGCAAGCCTGACCATCCGATCCCGTTAGTCGGCTCTTACGACAAGCATAGTCACCTCTTATGGTAAGCATGGGTTGCTGAAGACCTATTCTACCCCGGATCTTCACGGGTTGCAAGAGGTGCTGAATACATCTATTTCCCATTTGCTGAGACTGAGATCAGAATGGAGTAAATCCCTACGTACACACTCACTCACTCACTCTCACACACATATATATATACCGTATTCGACGTAATAAGCGCCCCGCTCTAATAAGTGCCCACGGCGGTATTTGCTAACATATTGGCTAGTGAACAATCCTAATTAGCACCCCTTCCGATTGATCAATGTTCACAAGACATATTTATTCGCGAACAATACGCACTCGTGTGTTATATGCACCCTTAATTATGGGCAATTAAATTCTAGAAAAATATATCTGTCGTACATAAACATTTCAGGCTGTCAGCATAAACCACAAAATTTATCTTTCAACTATTTTTTTTCACGAAAATATTATTCTAATAAGAGCCCCCTATTTTTAATTTCGAGAGCGCCCTGGGCCCTTATTACGTCAAATATGGTATATATGGGGTCGGTGGGGTAGCCAAGCGGTTAAAGCGTTTGCTCATCATGCGGAAGGCCTGGGTTCAATTCCCCACATGGGTACAATGCTTGAAGTCCATGTCTGGTGTCCCCTGCCGTGATATTGCTGGAATATTGCTAAAAGCAGCATAAAACCAAATTCATTCGTCTGTTCATTCATATATGACAAGTCACTGTCAGATGATTCTTACACAATGCCCAGGTCTGACTAGGAAACACATTCACCAGCATGTTGAACACAACTGATATACTGTAGAAGGCTTCTAGGAGTTTCACAATGATGTCTTGAAGTGAATGTTTAGATATCTTAATTGGTATTTAAATATCACCAGTACTGGATTATCTGCTCTGTTCAATGGTGATAGGTCAAAGGACAGCTGAAGACAAAATGGCTACTGTCGAACTCACAGTCACATGATATAGATATGTACAGGTACCAATACTTACATATATCATTGTATATCATAGTGATGTCTCCATTAGTATGCAAAGTCAACATCCCCAGGGAGCTGAGAATGAAAATCGAGTGCACACTGATTCACCGACTGGGGTAAGAATGTATCGCTTTTAGCATGCTATAGGTGTGGATTTGGCACATTATAACTATGGACATTATTAATTTTGCACATTATTAAATATTCACATTATAATGCCCCTATGATCAGCTGAATACTGACAGAGAATGGGAATCAGTCGGTGTACAGGCGGCTTCTGATGATTCTAGCTGAGGAGCTTGTAATCTGTTCTGCAATTAGCAGCACTCTGAATCACGAGCGATCTCGCAGACTGGAATACAGACTTTTCATAGCTATTTCATGTATGTACAAATGATATCAATAAATCACTTATTTGAATTTTTCATATCAGTAAGTGCATGCATGATTGCATTAGAACAGTCTGCGTCCTGTGAAAAGGTGATGTTAGTCTCTGATCTCACTGAAGGATATCCCGGCCTTGAGGAAACTCTCCAGCTTGCTCTGTAGTACACAGTTGCGCACCAGCTTCAGCAGCAACATGTACAGGTCGGATGCTGGGTCCTCAGGCTTACAGATGTTGATGTGGTTCTCACTGAATGCATAGAACTCTCCCACGCCAGGATCTACAAGGCAAAACATCCTAAAATTAGTCCTTTTTGGGGGGGTTACATACTTTTTCCCTAAAACCCTGGGACAGTTGTTGAAAAATATAAATAATTAAAACCCTTAAATAATTTTTTTTGATAATGTAATACATAGGATTAGAATGAGCAAACTATAATTTAAATTCTCTACATAACACTGAGTATTGACCCCATCAGTGAAATAGGGGATATATGCTTCTACAAGATATTGGTTCACCGATCCATCCACTCTGATTGAGAAGTGGAAAAAATATATAATCTGAATGTATTTTTACTCATCTGAATACAAACTAATGTATAAACCACAGAAAAATGTGGGATCTGATCCAGGAAGTCTTTGAGACATTTCACTTCATATGAATGCATTTTCTTTTCATCCCGAATTTGAAAACAAACAGGGCGATATTCTTCTAACCAAGCGGGTTCATCAAGTGTCATCATAATGTCATAGCATCCCAGAATGACCCATCATCTTCCTGAGGCAAGGAAGTTAACTAACAACAAAGGTCCAGTTCCCACCCTTGCCAAACTACGCTGGAATTTCATGGCTCGATCGCATCGCCACCAGTGGCTATTACAAGTTATGTCCCTTCTATGTCCCTCTTATTGACCAATCAGATTCCTTCTCTTACATCACTTGCATTTGTGTCAAACAAAATGGCGGCCACCAGTCAAGACAGTCTGATCGATAATCAAGATTATATTGTAATAAATGAGGCCTTACCTCACGAAGTGCATCAAATCACTTGAGCACCTTGATTAAAAACATAAAAAGATTTGGAAAATATCTGTCAATGCCCAGTTGACGGTACACATGCTTTGTAAATCCTGCAGTCAGTCAAAATCTGCACATTGAAATCAGTGTTGTTAACGAACTGGATGGATGGTTCGTTGCATGATTTTTATTGGACTATGTGTAGACTCGTTAGTTGAGTCGAATTCAAGCCTAATTCAGCAAGGGTGGAAAACTTGCCTCAGGAAGATGGAGAGCTATGGAAAGTGCCTGATGACTTTTGTATTTTACAATGTTGGTAAAGATTTTTGTTTTTTGGACGAGGTTTATCATTGGAAACATCTGGCAATTGCCATAGGTTCCAAATAAAAATGGTTAACTCACTACTGGATTCAGGGGGTACGATGTGGACTTTGGGGAGGTTCTTTCCCAGGGATGTCTTGGAGGTTTCCCCAAAACTGATGCACGGAATGCTGTTGTCCTTCATGAAGGTCAGGAACTTGTCATGGAGGACTTTCAGGTGGGGGGAATCTGGAAGAGCAAGAAGGCTCTGTACCTCGCCTGGCTTTGGCTTGAGAATTTGCAACATTATATCATGAGTCAAAACACGACTCTAAGGTTTTGGTTGGACATGTAACACCATGAGCAAGGGAAAATCACTAATACGTGGAAGGGGTATATGCTCTAAGGGGTGGATGAGGTACCTGCACTGAGGGGTGGATGAGGTAACAGCACTGAGGGGTGGATGAGGTACCTGCAATGAGGGGTTGGGGGATGAGGTAACAGCACTGAGGGGTGGATGAGGTACAAGCACTGAGGGGTGGATGAGGTACCAGCACTGAGGGGTGGGGGATGAGGTACCAGCACTGAGGGGTGGATGAGGTACAAGCACTGAGGGGTGGATGAGGTACCTGCACTGAGGGGTGGATGAGGTACCAGCACTGAGGGGTGGGGGATGAGGTACCAGCACTGAGGGGTGGATGAGGTACAAGCACTGAGGGGTGGATGAGGTACCAGCACTGAGGGGTGGGGGATGAGGTACAAGCACTGAGGGGTGGATGAGGTACCAGCACTGAGGGGTGGGGGATGAGGTACCAGCACTGAGGGGTGGATGAGGTACCTGCACTGAGGGGGGGATGAGGAAACAGCACTGAGGGGTGGATGAGGTACCAGTACTGAGTGGTGGATGAGGTACCTGCACTGAGGGATGGGGGATGAGGTACCAGCACTGAGGGGTGGGGGGATGAGGTACCTGCACTAAGGGGTGGGGGGATGAGGTACCAGCACTGAGGGGTGGGGGGATGAGGTACCAGCACTGAGGGGTGGGGGGATGAGGTACCTGCACTGAGGGGTGGGTGGATGAGGTACCTGCACTGTGGGGTGGGGGGATGAGGTACCAGCCCTGAGGGGTGGGGGGATGAGGTACCTGCACTAAGGGGTGGGGGAATGAGGTACCAGCACTGAGGGGTGGGGGGGATGAGGTACCTGCACTAAGGGGTGGGGGGATGAGGTACCAGCACTGAGGGGTGGGGGATGAGGTACCTGCACTGAGGGGGGGATGAGGTACCAGCACTGAGGGTTGGGGGGATGAGGTACCAGAACTGAGGGGTGGGGGGATGAGGTACTTGCACTGAGGGGTGGATGAGGTACCAGCACTGAGGGGTGGGGGGATGAGGTACCTGCACTGAGGGGTGGGGGATGAGGTACCAGCACTGAGGGGTGGGGGGATGACGTACCTGCACTGAGGGGTGGATGAGGTACCAGCACTGAGGGGTGGGGGATGAGGTACCTGCACTGAGGGGGGGATGAGGTACCAGCACTGAGGGTTGGGGGGATGAGGTACCAGAACTGAGGGGTGGGGGGATGAGGTACTTGCACTGAGGGGTGGATGAGGTACCAGCACTGAGGGGTGGGGGGATGAGGTACCTGCACTGAGGGGTGGGGGATGAGGTACCTGCACTGAGTGGGGGGGGGAGGGAAGGATGAGGTACCTGCACTGAGTGGGGGGAGGATGAGGCACCTGCACACTGTTGGGGGGGGAGGGGAGGATGAGGTACCTGCACTGAGTGGGGGGGGAGGGGAGGATGAGGTACCTGCACTGAGTGGGGGGAGGATGAGGCACCTGCACACTGTTGGGGGGGGAGGGGAGGATGAGGTACCTGCACACCGTTGGGGGGGGAGGGGAGGATGAGGTACCTGCACTGAGTGGGGGGAGGATGAGGCACCTGCACACTGTTGGGGGGGGGAGGGGAGGATGAGGTACCTGCACACCGTTGGGGGGGGAGGGGAGGATGAGGTACCTGCACTAAGCTGCTGCAGCTCCACAGATGGGTAGATGAGGTACCAGGCGTGGTTGGAGGTGTCTGCCAGGGTGGATCCGCGGTGGGGGACACTGTAGAACACCACCCCCCGGGTCTGCACGGCCAGTGACTGGAGCCGGGGTTCTGTCTGGGCAAGGGCCAACATCTGCTTCACCAGGAGACCTAGCCAACACCAAGACAATGCACATTTTTGAAAAGAGCAAAATTTAGAAGATTAATAAGATGTAAAATCTTAACTCCTAACATTATTAAAATAGTGCAAGGGCACTGTAGCTCACATGGATGTGTAGTCTACAGATTCCACACAAACTGCTGTCAGCACTGACATCCAAATACAGTAAACTACGCTTAAAATAAACCCAGAGGGGCAACTGATTTTAGTTCATTATAACCGTAGTTCATTATAGCATATATACAGCATATATACAACAAATGGCCAGGACTAAAAATAAGTTGGTTATAACAGTCAGTTTGTTATAAGCGTGTTTGTCATAAACGTAGTTTACTGTGTGTTCTATTTCAAAATTTTGAAAAAAGTAATTACATTTGAACTGTAACATATTCATTCTGTTCATTCATAACACTTCAATCTAATAATCACGACAGACATGTCTGCTGAGTTTCAGCAAATTGGTTCCACAGCTTCTGAGAAAAAGGAGAAAATTTGTTTGCAACATCATCCGTGTTTGTCACCATTAAATGCCTTAATCTTCTTTGACATGATCATTCACAGAAACGTTCGTCTGTCTAAGGAATCTGGTTCTTGTGGATAAAGACTTGAGCTAACCTCCCATCGAGTGGCCCACCCAGATGACCGGCCGAGATCCGACACCAGCCTTGTGTAGCTTCTCCAGCAGACTCCGGCCTCGCATCTCAACCGTCCGACTGAAACAAAGCCATGTAATCCCTTATAAAACATTTTACATTTGCCTTGTTTTTTTGTTTTCTATATATTGTGTTGATTTGAACAGAGTGACTGTTGTACTTGATTCCCTAGTGAGGAACATCTCAACACTGTGTAATCAGGTGTGGGGCACATGAAGATGCAAGTTTTGATACAGACAGGTGATGACAGTCAGATCTCATTTCCAAGTGATCTCCCAACCAAGTGCGATGTGCCAGGGTAGATTTCTCACTAACGAGGGGCGGTCGGGTAGCCTAGTGGTTAAAGCGTTCGCTTGTCACGCCGAAGACCCGGGTTTGATTCCCGACATGGGTACAATGTGTGAAGCCCATTTCTGGTGTCCTCTGCCGTGATATTGCTGGAATATTGCTGAAAGCGGTGTAAAACAAACTCACTCACTCACCTACTCACTCACACTAACGACTCTCAGGATTGTTTCTTTATGACACGGATAATGTGTCAGGACTCTCTGATATATAGAGAATATTTCATGTGTTGAGTGAATATCATATTTCTCTCATCAAGTGATGTAGGGTCACAAAAATTCTTTATCATACATTAACATATGATTATATACAAAATCAACTTTCACAAAAAATATTCTTGGAAACTAGGAGACTGCTGATGGAAGCGAAGAAAACAGGCTGGTCAAGTAACAAAAATGGCACTTTGAGAAAAGAACTGTTTCAATTGATGACTTAAATGAGTAATTTACAGTTATAACGAAACATTTGAGAGAGAAAACAAACGGCAAGAAGTGATATTAACTCCATAAATGACCATCTGTCATTTTTTTACCTTGTCAGTGTGGAACTAACGTAAAAAGGATGTCAACAGTTTGTGTACGGGCTTGACACTTACGATAAAGGGAGACAATCAAGGGGAGTTAACTCTTGTATGACAATAGTTCCGTCAAAGTGTTATGTTCACTGTACTGAAATATCAAGTGTTATGTTCACTGCAATGAAAATATCACTTTTCTCAACTTCAGAAAACTCTTTCACACTGAAGTATATGTTTCATTCTAATTGTTCCTCAAGGATCTCAATTAAAACATAATATTGTATGGACAATGGACATACCACCCACCTCTCTCTGTTGTATGGACAATGGACATACCACTCACCCCTCTCTGTTGTATGGACAATGGACATACCACTCACCTCTCTTTGTTGTATGGACAATGGACATACCACTCACCTCTCTCTGTTGTATGGACAATGGACATACCACTCACCCCTCTCTGTTGTATGGACAATGGACATACCACTCACCTCTCTCTGTTGTATGGACAATGGACATACCACTCACCTCTCTCTGTTGTATGGACAATGGACATACCACTCACCCCTCTCTGTTGTATGGACAATGGACATACCACTCACCTCTCTTTGTTGTATGGACAATGGACATACCACTCACCTCTCTCTGTTGTATGGACAATGGACATACCACTCACCTCTCTCTGTTGTATGGACAATGGACATACCACCCACCTCTCTCTGTTGTATGGACAATGGACATACCACCCACCTCTCTCTGTTGTATGGACAATGGACATACCACTCACCTCTCTCTGTTGTATGGACAATGGACATACCACCCACCTCTCTCTGTTGTATGGACAATGGACATACCACCCACCTCTCTCTGTTGTATGGACAATGGACATACCACTCACCGCTCTCTGTTGTATGGACAATGGACATACCACTCGCTGACATGCGTGTCGTATTCCACGGTCAACAGTCGAGTGTTGGGGCAGTCTCGGGCCAGCCAGTCCTGCAAGGAGGACAATGCATGCAGTAGTCAGGTCAGTCAACATCTGACTTGCAGTATTCCTATACCAGTGTAAACTGAGAGAGTGTGTGAGAGTGAATGATAACCCACCATAACAGTACTTTAACAACCCACCCAGACTCAGACACTGATGCCGGCAGAAATATGATGCCTGGTTGTGTATTTGGGTCAAATTCAGCCTATAAGCATGGAAAGTATTGTATTTAATACATGCAAACTATTGAATAAATCAGTACATTCATTATAGGTCATGTGAGGGTGAGGGTGAGGGTGAGGGTGAGGTGAGGGTCAGGTGAGGTGAGGTGAATTCAGGTTTAATGTCGTGTCCAAGATTATTGCACTTATATAGCGATGTGCTTGCACATGTCTGTGTCTGCTTGCACAAGTCCGTACTGATGTTGATTTTATAGTGCCCGCCCATTGAGATACCATGCTGCAGTTTAACATAAATACCCCACTCAGACACAGCAAACTGACTCAGAGCCGACCAGTCCTTGTTTTAGCCCTTTAATGCCGAGCGCCAGACAGGGTAACAACAAGTACCATCTGTTAACATCTTTGGGATTGACCCCGAATCTTCCCCTCTCTGGGCGCCATGGAGGCGGTCTACATTCTTTATAACCTCACGTATCTACCTTAGGCCAGCACATGGACTGTGGGGTCTCTGATTGGTCTTTCCGCTTCACGTCCGACTGGTCTCTCCGCGTCACGTCCGACTGGTCTCTCCGCGTCACGTCCGACTGGTCTCTCCGCGTCAGGTCCGACTGGTCTCTCCGCGTCACGTCCTTCTGTCTCCAGGTCTTGAAGGGGCCGCCCATAATACCGTGCACAAACACCACATCACAGTACGGCTCCTCACTGGGGGCAGAAGTACTGGCTCACATTTACACAGTAACCATGTGGCTGGGTTATGTCAAATCTCTTACATTTCCTGTGACATTTACATTGTGTTTGACAACCTTGAGTCTATATGCAACATCATGGTTACAAGTTTCACACTGTTTACTTTGTGTCGATTCAGTCTCTGTCAACTGTTCATAGGTCACGTCAGATCAACTTTCTAATCACCCAATTGGTATCAAGGCTTCTAAGTTCTCGGTACGGGCAACCAAAATAATATTTGAAAAGCATATCTGATTTCTAACGAACATAAATAGTCTTCTGAATGCAGAACGTTTGTTGTTACAGAATTTGTTCCATGGCATTGAGGAACATTTGTGTTTCTTATCAGGTACTGAAACTGCAGCCGACATATCAACATTGGTAGAAATAATTAAGAACCGAAATTAAATAAAAAGCTAAACTGTTATATAGAGCTGACATCCACACAGCTCAAGAACCCGTACATCTTTCATTTTGATTGGGAGGTCAAAGTTCGCACAGGGTTCCCTAACATGACCTGCTATGTAGGGTTTGTCGGATCTTGACCGACAGAGGTCTCAGATCCAACTATGAGATCAGTTTAAAATGTATGCTTGTTTGCTGTTTACTGCCACAGCAGTATGTCAACTGTATTACGGCGTATGGTAGACAATTGTGTCTGGACCAGACAGTCCAAACAATTGCTTCATGAGCATCGATATACACAGTTGGGATAGGAAGACATGCATCAATCAAGTCAGGCCTATTTGAACATGGATCTTCACAGGGGCGGTTTTAAATAAGATTGTGTGACTGCCAGTTGCCCTGTACCTAGTCCCCTAACAATGGGGTTCCGGTGTACATGTAGACTACTCTGGAAGGACCTACCTGTTCCTGTGCATCGGATGGATGACATACACTCCCTCCTCACACACACAGTCAGAGCCGTCTCGGTCCAGGTTCAGCAGTGCTCGGCCAGCCAGCTGAGACAACTCCAGGTCCTCGTGGGACATCCACTGGGACAGGATTGGGACCCAGCCTGCAACACAGAGACAGGGCAGTGACTGTCATGAATGGAAGAGGACAGGGGACAGAGGACAGAGGACAGAGGACAGGGGACAGGGGACAGAGGACAGGTAACAGAGGAAAGGTAACAGAGGACAGGGGACAGGAAAGGTAACAGAGGACAGGGGACAGAGGACAGGGGATAGAGGAAAGGTGACAGAGGACAAGTAACAGAGGACATGGGACAGGGGAAAGAAGAAAGGTAACAGAGGACGGGAAAGGTAACAGAGGAGAGGGGAAAGGTAACAGAGGACAGAGGACAGGGGAAAGGTAACAGAGGACAGAGGACATGGGACAGAGGACATGGGACAGAGGACAGGGGACAGAGGGAAGGTTACAGAGGACAGAGGACAGGGGAAAGGTAACAGAGGACATGGGACAGAGGATATGGGACAGAGGACAGGGGACAGGGGACAGAGGACAGAGGGAAGGTTACAGAGGACAGAGGACAGGGGAAAGGTAACAGAGGACATGGGACAGAGGACAGGGGACAGAGGACAGAGGGAAGGTTACAGAGGACAGAGGACAGGGGAAAGGTAACAGAGGACATGGGACAGAGGACATGGGACAGAGGACATGGGACAGGGGACAGGGGACAGGGGAAAGGTAACAGAGGACAGGGGACAGAGGGAAGGTTACAGAGGACAGAGGACAGAGGCAAGGTAACAGAGGACAGGGGACAGGGGAAAGGTATTAGAGGACAGAGGACACGAGACAGAGGAAAGGTAACAGGGGACAGAGGACAGAGGACAGGGGGCAGAGGAAAGGTAACAGGGGACAGGGTACAGAGACGGAGGGTAGCAGACAGAAAAAGAGGGCAACGTCAGGGGAAGACAGCACCACACAGTGAGGTTACCAACACTCACCTGTTCTAATAATCTCCTCATGAAGACAGTCCCAGAGACTGAGGTTACCAATGATCTGTGAGACCAGGTGTGGAACATGGAGCGTGGAGTTGGGTGAGAGCTCCTTCACCAGGTGCAGCAGGGTGGCCAGCCCTCCTCCTTCCACAATGCGGAGACACTGAGACTTACTCTGAAAGCATACAACAATGTGGAAATGAATTGTCCTCCCAGAGGTGCATCCACGTTAACAGTTCATGTAAAATCAGTTTGAAAGATCTTTGTATACAGTACATCTAATGCCCTGAGCGAACCTCAAGGCTGTATACAATATATCTACTGACCTGTGAGTGACTCTCTAGGCTGTATACAGTATATCTACTGACCTGTGAGTGACTCTCTAGGCTGTACACAGTATATCTACTGACCTGTGAGTGACTCTCTAGGCTGTACACAGTATATCTACTGACCTGTGAGTGACTCTCTAGGCTGTACACAGTATATCTACTGACCTGTGAGTGCCTCTCTAGGCTGTACACAGTATATCTACTGACCTGTGAGTGACTCTCCAGGGCCTCCAGGTAGTACAAGTGCTGGATGTCTTCTGGGACGGTAGGGGAAGCATGGCTGGTGTCGTAAGAGGGATTGCCGAAAGTCCAGAGAATGCCCTAGATAAAGAACATATGTCTTAATCTACAGCATCAAGATGTTGGTCTTGAAGTAATTCAACAGTTAATCTTATTATCAGGGCAGCAGTAATACAAGCACATCTCAACATGCATGCCAGTACCAGTTCTTCCAGTTCAAAAGTTTGTCAGCCTTCAACACTAATTTAAAAAAAAAATTTGAGCCTAATAATTTTGTAGAACAATCTGTTACTCCAACAAGTGAGTGAGTATATATCTATGATAGTTGAGTCCTTTCACTGAAAGATAACATTATCAATTAACTCTGAGGCAATGTATTACAACTCGCGACTTATCAGCTGATATTTCTTGTGAGATACTTTCTACTGGACTCACTTTATCTTCTTGCACCTGTCCTTTCTCTAGTGCCAGGGATGTGAAGTACTCCACGCACTCGCCGACGTTCTCCAGCGGCAGTGACAACAGCAGGGACCGCAGCTCTGTAGCACAGCTCCTCTGACAGACACACAATCACTGATTGAGTGAGTGAATGAGTTTTACAATTCTTTGTCAGCTTGGTGGTGAGGTGAGGTGAGGTGAGGTGAGGTGAGGTGAGGTGAGGTGAGGTGAGGTGAGGTGAGGTGAAATGGGGTTTAACATTGTCATGTTCAAGATTATAGCATTCTTATAGTGTGATCTGTGTCCGGACTTTTGCCAGATTCATGGGGCTAGCCCAATGAGACACCATGCTACAGTTTAACACGAATACCCCACTCAGACACAGTATACCATAGATGTAATCTGTGAGAACAACAGGGATACAAGGCTTATACTTATTCCACTGTCATGAGCACGGCTGACAAACCCAAACCCATATTTAGTAATACCTAGTAATGTTACTTTAATCACATATAGACATTTCAAATACTGGTCCAAGGTTTCCAGATAAGCAGTGTCCAGACAACTGGCCAAACAAAGGTGTCGCTGTACAAGCCAGTATTACCTTCAGCGGCACCAGCCTGGGTGGAGGGAGGAAGAAGCGGTGCCCTACATCCGGAGTGTATCTATATTTCCAGTATATAAGCCAGTATTACCTTCAGTGGCACCAGCCTGGGTGGAGGGAGGAAGAAGCGGTGCCCTACATCCGGAGTATATCTATATTTCCAGTATATAAGCCAGTATTACCTTCAGTGGCACCAGCCTGGGTGGAGGTAGGAAGAAGCGGTGCCCTACATCCGGAGTATATCTATATTTCCAGTATATAAGCCAGTTTTACCTTCAGTGGCACCAGCCTTGGTGGAGGTAGGAAGAAGCGGTGCCCTACATCCGGAGTATATCTATATTTCCAGTATATAAGCCAGTATTACCTTCAGCGGCACCAGCCTGGGTGGAGGTAGGAAGAAGCGGTGCCCTACATCCGGAGTATATCTATATTTCCAGTATATAAGCCAGTATTACCTTCAGCGGCACCAGCCTGGGTGGAAGTAGGAAGAAGCGGTGCCCTACATCCGGAGTGTATCTATATTTCCAGTATATAAGCCAGTATTACCTTCAGCGGCACCAGCCTGGGTGGAGGGAGGAAGAAGCGGTGCCCTACATCCGGAGTGTATCTATATTTCCAGTATATAAGCCAGTATTACCTTCAGCGGCACCAGCCTGGGTGGAGGGAGGAAGAAGCGGTGCCCTACATCCGGAGTGTATCTATATTTCCAGTATATCAGCCAGTATTACCTTCAGTGGCACCAGCCTGGGTGGAGGTAGGAAGAAGCGGTGCCCTACATCCGGAGTGTATCTATATTTCCAGTATATAAGCCAGTATTACCTTCAGCGGCACCAGCCTGGGTGGAGGTAGGAAGAAGCGGTGCCCTACATCCGGAGTGTATCTATATTTCCAGTATATAAGCCAGTATTACCTTCAGCGGCACCATCCTGGGTGGAGGGAGGAAGAAGCGGTGCCCTACATCTGGAGTGTATCTATATTTCCAGTATATAAGCCAGTATTACCTTCAGCGGCACCAGCCTGGGTGGAGGTAGGAAGAAGCGGTGCCCTACATCCGGAGTATATCTATATTTCCAGTATATAAGCCAGTATTACCTTCAGCGGCACCAGCCTGGGTGGAGGTAGGAAGAAGCGGTGCCCTACATCCGGAGTATATCTATATTTCCAGTATATAAGCCAGTATTACCTTCAGTGGCACCAGCCTGGGTGGAGGGAGGAAGAAGCGGTGCCCTACATCCGGAGTGTATCTATATTTCCAGTATATAAGCCAGTATTACCTTCAGTGGCACCAGTCTGGGTGGAGGTAGGAAGAAGCGGTGCCCTACATCCGGAGAGCGGGCCAGACCCACCAGAGTGCGGCCATCACACGCCTGCGCGATGTAGCGGTACTGGTAGTCTGCACATACAACAATCACTTCAGCAACACATGTTTAGTATTTCCATAGATCTGTCTTATAATCTCCTGTATAAGTTAGCCTATCACCTGTCAATCAAACAACATGATCGTCCAATCAGAAAGTCCCAATGGATACAGAAGCAGCACCATCCCCATCATTTCCTGAATGTCCCAAAACGTTTTCATCAGTTGTCAGCTGGCCGCACACATGGCGAACGTTGCAACAGAACAGACTGTGTCTCTAGCTACCTTAATAACAAAGCTACATGCACTTGTAGTTTAATAACTATATTTCCATCAGTGTATCTATATTTCCATCAGTGTATCTATATTTCCATCAGTGTATCTATATTTCCATCACCGTATCTATATTTCCATCATTGTATCTTTATTTCCATCAGTGTATCCATCACTGTATCTATATTTCCATCACTGTATCTATATTTCCATCAGTGTATCTATATTTCCATCAGTATATCTTTATTTCCATCATTGTATCTATATTCCCATCAGTGTATCTATATTCCCATCAGTGTATCTATATTTCCATCAGTGTATCTATATTTCCATCAGTATATCTTTATTTCCATCAGTGTATCCATATTTCCATCACTGTATCTATATTTCCATCACTGTATCTATATTTCCATCAGTATATCTTTATTTCCATCATTGTATCTATATTCCCATCAGTGTATCTATATTTCCATCAGTGTATCTATATTTCCATCACCATATCTATATTCCCATCAGTGTATCTATATTTCCATCATTGTATCTTTATTTCCATCAGTGTATCTATATTTCCATCACTGTATCTATATTTCCATCAGTGTATCTATATTTCCATCACCATATCCATATTTCCATCATTGATTCTTTATTTCCATATCTATATTTCCATCATTGTAACTATATTTCCATCACTGTATCTATATTTCCATCAGTGTATCTATATTTCCATATCTATATTTCCATCATTGTAACTATATTTCCATCACTGTATCTATATTTCCATCAGTGTATCTTTATTTCCATCAGTGTATCTATATTGCCATCACTGTATCTATATTTCCATCAGTGTATCTATATTTCCATCACCATATCCATATTTCCATCATTGTATCTTTATTTCCATATCTATATTTCCATCATTGTAACTATATTTCCATCACTGTATCTATATTTCCATCAGTGTATCTATATTTCCATATCTATATTTCCATCATTGTAACTATATTTCCATCACTGTATCTATATTTCCATCAGTGTATCTATATTCCCATCAGTGTATCCATATTTCCATCATTGTAACTATATTTCCATCACTGTATCTATATTTCCATCAGTGTATCTATATTTCCATCAGTGTATCTATATTTCCATCAGTGTATCTATATTTCCATCACCGTATCTATATTTCCATCATTGTATCTTTATTTCCATCAGTGTATCCATATTTCCATCACTGTATCTATATTTCCATCACTGTATCTATATTTCCATCAGTGTATCCATATTTCCATATCTATATTTCCATCACTGTATCTATATTTCCATCATTGTAACTATATTTCCATCAGTGTATCCATATTTCCATCATTGTATCTATATTCCCATCATTGTATCTTTATTTCCATCAGTGTATCTATATTTCCATCAGTGTATCTATATTTCCATCAGTGTATCTATATTTCCATCATTGTATCTATATTCCCATCATTGTATCTATATTTCCATCACTGTATCTATATTTCCATCAGTGTATCTATATTTCCATCAGTGTATCTATATTTCCATCATTGTATCTATATTCCCATCATTGTATCTATATTTCCATCACTGTATCTATATTTCCATCAGTGTATCTATATTTCCATCAGTGTAACTATATTTCCATCACTGTATCTTTATTTCCATCATTGTATCTATATTCCCATCATTGTATCTATATTTCCATCAGTGTATCTATATTTCCATCATTGTAACTATATTTCCATCACTGTATCTATATTTCCATCAGTGTATCTATATTTCCATCAGTGTATCTATATTTCCATCAGTGTATCTATATTTCCATCAGTGTATCTATATTTCCATCACCGTATCTATATTTCCATCATTGTATCTATATTTCCATCACTGTATCTATATTTCCATCACCGTATCTATATTTCCATCACTGTATCTATATCTCCATCACTGTATCTATATTTCCATCAGTATATCTATATTTCCATCAGTGTATCTATATTCCCATCAGTGTATCTATATTTCCATCATTGTATCTATATTCCCATCAGTGTATCTATATTCCCATCAGTGTATCTATATTCCCATCAGTGTATCTATATTTCCATCATTGTATCTATATTCCCATCATTGTAACTATATTTCCATCACTGTATCTATATTCCCATCAGTGTATCTATATTTCCATCAGTGTATCTATATTTCCATCACCATATCTATATTTCCATCATTGTATCTTTATTTCCATATCCATATTTCCATCATTGTAACTATATTTCCATCACTGTATCTATATTTCCATCAGTGTATCTATATTTCCATCACTGTATCTATATTTCCATCAGTGTATCTATATTTCCATCATTGTATCTATATTTCCATCAGTGTATCTATATTTCCATCAGTGTATCTATATTTCCATCACCGTATCTATATTTCCATCATTGTATCTTTATTTCCATCAGTGTATCCATATTTCCATCACTGTATCTATATTTCCATCAGTGTATCTATATTTCCATCATTGTATCTTTATTTCCATATCCATATTTCCATCATTGTAACTATATTTCCATCACTGTATCTATATTTCCATCAGTGTATCCATATTTCCATCACTGTATCTATATTTCCATCAGTGTATCTATATTTCCATCAGTATATCTTTATTTCCATCAGTGTATCTATATTTCCATCAGTGTATCTATATTCCAATCAGTGTATCTATATTTGCATCAGTGTATCTATATTTCCATCACCATATCTATATTTCCATCATTGTATCTTTATTTCCATATCCATATTTCCATCATTGTAACTATATTTCCATCACTGTATCTATATTTCCATCAGTGTATCTATATTCCCATCAGTGTATCTATATTTCCATCAGTGTATCTATATTTCCATCACCATATCTATATTTCCATCATTGTATCTTTATTTCCATATCCATATTTCCATCATTGTAACTATATTTCCATCACTGTATCTATATTTCCATCAGTGTATCTATATTTCCATCACTGTATCTATATTTCCATCAGTGTATCTATATTTCCATCATTGTATCTTTATTTCCATATCTATATTTCCATCATTGTAACTATATTTCCATCACTGTATCTATATTTCCATCAGTGTATCTTTATTTCCATCAGTGTATCTATATTTCCATCAGTGTATCCATTTTTCCATCACCGTATCTATATTTCCATCAGTGTATCCATATTTCCATCACCATATCTATATTTCCATCATTGTATCTTTATTTCCATATCCATATTTCCATCATTGTAACTATATTTCCATCACTGTATCTATATTTCCATCAGTGTATCTATATTCCCATCAGTGTATCTATATTTCCATCAGTGTATCTATATTTCCATCACCATATCTATATTTCCATCATTGTATCTTTATTTCCATATCTATATTTCCATCATTGTAACTATATTTCCATCACTGTATCTATATTTTTGTCTGAAACAAGAACGTCAGATTACCCTCCCAGTCTTCCATTTCTGCAATGGCCTTGACCCCCAGCCATCTTGTTTTTCTGTCTGCGGACCTGGTGAGTTTAAGCAAGGTCCAGGGATCTTGGCTGTGAGACTGTAACCATGGGAACCAGGACTCTATAACAAATACAAGAAGCAGGAAGAGTTACATTGTTTACTGCCCATCTTTTCTGGTACATATGAAACAATGTTCATAAAAGGAAGTAAAAAGTGATTCTGTAAGGTGGCCAAGAATAGAAAGGGCTAGACTGTTGGGCCTTTGGCACACCTGGCTGTTCTGGTGTGACAGTGTACCTCATGGCTTGTCAGTGTACCCCATGGCGTGTCGGTGTACCCCATGGCATGTCAGTGTACCCCATGGCGTGTCAGTGTACCCCATGGCGTGTCTGTGTGCCCCATGGCGTGTCAGTGTACCCCATGGCGTGTCGGTGTACCCCATGGCGTGTCGGTGTACCCCATGGCGTGTCAGTGTACCCCATGGCGTGTCGGTGTACCCCATGGCGTGTCAGTGTACCTCATGGCGTGTCGGTGTACCTCATGGCTTGTCGGTGTACCCCATGGCGTGTCAGTGTACCTCATGGCGTGTCAGTGTACCCCATGGCGTGTCGGTGTACCCCATGGCGTGTCAGTGTACCCCATGGCGTGTCAGTGTACCCCATGGCGTGTCGGTGTACCCCATGGCATGTCAGTGTACCCCATGGCGTGTCAGTGTACCCCATGGGGTGTCCATGTACCCCATGGCGTGTCGGTGTACCCCATGGCGTGTCGGTGTACCCCATGGCATGTCGGTGTACCCCATGGCGTGTCGGTGTACCCCATAGCGTGTCAGTGTACCCCATGGCGTTTCGGTGTACCCCATGGTGTGTCAGTGTGCCCCATCAGCTGGCTGTCCTGGTGTGTCAGTGTACCCCATGGCGTGTCAGTGTGCCCCATCAGCTGGCTTTCCTGGTGTGTCAGTGTACCCCATCAGCTGGCTGTCCTGGTGTGTCAGTGTACCCAATCAGCTAACTATGCAGTTTGAAAACTCATCTACTGTGGACTTACTCTGTTTTAATTTTTCTGGATCAAGATACTTCTTCCTGATGTCTGAAATATATAACCCGACATAGACATTAATCCTAAACACCTGCACAGGATGCATACAGTGCTTCACTTCCAAATTGTGATGACATGACTTAGGGACATGAAAGTAAAATAGCGAGGAAGATTTGGGGTTTTCACAAAGGTTCAATATTTTTGTTTTCATCCTTCAATTTGATCTTGGTTAATGATTCAATATAACAATAACCATGGTAAGTAGAGTCCTAATACTGAGGATGATTATCTATTGATCTGCATATGACCTTTACCTTGAGATTTGGCTCGGAGGTCTCTCTCCCGGTCTCGGATGTAGATGTATGGCTTGGTGGACTTGTCCAGGTCGAACACACTCAGCTGTGGGGAGGAGGACAACCTTCCTCTGATGGACTCGATCTCTATCCACAGCAAGGAGCCACTGTCAGTGAAACAACATGGCACTGAAATATGACATGATCAAGAATGACAAGGCTCAGACAAACCTGAAGTCCACTCAAGTTGGATCATAACCACCATGTTTCTCTGCTTACTCAATTGTTATGAACTCTGTGGGGATTCGGGGTCAGTTTTATCCCCAGAGCGAGGGCAGCAAGCAACAAAAAAATTGTCATGTCTACACTCTGTTGTCCTGTTGTGTTAATCTGGAATGCTTATGAAAAATACATGGATACAATATTTTTCATCTTCCCGAGGCAAGGGTGTGAACTGCCTACACAATTCCAGTTTCCACCCTTGCTGGAATTTCGTGACTCGATCATAGCGCCACCACTGGCTATTACGAGTTATGTCCCTTCTATGGCCCTCCTATTGATCAATCAGATTCCATCGCTCATATCACTTGCATTTGTTTCAAACAAAATGGAAGTGCCCTGTCAAGATGATCTGATTGATAATCAAGATCTATATTATAATAAAACGGGTCTTACATCGCGAAGTGTATCAAATCATTTGAGCACCTTAATTAAAAAACTGAAAAGATTTGGAAAATACCTGTAGATGTCCAGTTGACGGTGCACATGCTTTGCAAATGCTGCAGTTTACAAACCAGATGTCTAATTATTTAATCAAATTTGATTGGACTATGCATAGACTCGTCTGTCCAGCAAAAATATAACTCGTGCTCATAGCACTGCCTCAGTGTTGGCGACCTTTAATGCCAGTAAATATGTGTCCAAGTATGGAGGAGACACATGTAATTGTATGCCTTCCTCACGTATCAATACACATTGCCATACAGTATTAACGATACAATCAGATTTAGAGATGGGCGTAGCATGTATCACTGTCATGAGGTTAGGTTCACCATGTACGGGTGAATCGTGACAACCCTCCATGTCACTATATCCAACATTGAAAATCAGTAATGCTAATACATTAGTAATGGTTGCTCCTGACGTCTCCTAGCAACTGCACTCACCATGCTACCAATGTGACAATGATGGAGTAGGCTCCTGGAACAGAAAAACAAAATCAATTTCTTAGAAAATATGCATGTGAAACTTTTGGGGATAATATCTCATATTTGAATTATTCTCTCACTGAATACATCTTTAGGGAAAACAAATATTGCCATATTAATAAAAAAATCTGATAGGTGAAGTTGCCACTGAATCAAATCTCATTCACCTCCAGTCCAAACAAGGCATACAACCATTTTCAAGGCATGTTACATGTCTTCCTATGGCCAGGTTACAGTTCTATATTCTGATGTCGGCCAGGGTACAGTTCTATATTCGGATGTCGGACAGGGTACAGTTCTATATTCTCATGTCGGCCAGGGTACAGTTCTATATTCTGATGTCGGCCAGGGTACAGTTCTATATTCTGATGTCGGCCAAGGTACAGTTCTATATTCTGATGTCGGCCAAGGTACAGTTCTATATTCTAATGTCGGCCAGGGTACAGTTCTATATTCTGATGTCGGCCAAGGTACAGTTCTATATTCTGATGTCGGCCAAGGTACAGTTCTATATTCTGATGTCGGCCAGGGTACAGTTCTATATTCTGATGTCGGCCAGGTTACAGTTCTATATTCTGATGTTGGCCAAGGTACAGTTCTATATTCTGATGTCGGCCAGGGTACAGTTCTATATTCTCATGTCGGCCAAGGTACAGTTCTATATTCTGATGTCAGCCAGGGTACAGTTCTATATTCTGATGTCGGCCAAGGTACAGTTCTATATTCTGATGTCGGCCAAGGTACAGTTCTATATTCTGATGTCGGCCAGGTTACAGTTCTATATTCTGATGTCGGCCAAGGTACAGTTCTATATTCTGATGTCGGCCAGGGTACAGTTCTATATTCTCATGTCGGCCAGGGTACAGTTCTATATTCTGATGTCGGCCAGGGTACAGTTCTATATTCTGATGTCGGCCAGTGTACAGTTCTATATTCTGATGTCGGCCAGGGTACAGTTCTATATTCTCATGTCGGCCAGGGTACAGTTCTATATTCTGATGTCGGCCAAGGTACAGTTCTATATTCTGATGTCGGCCAGGGTACAGTTCTATATTCTCATGTCGGCCAGTGTACAGTTCTATATTCTGATGTCGGCCAGGGTACAGTTCAATATTCTCATGTCGGCCAGGGTACAGTTCTATATTCTGATGTCAGCCAGGGTACAGTTCTATATTCTCATGTCGGCCAGGGTACAGTTCTATATTCTGATGTCGGCCAAGGTACAGTTCTATATTCTGATTTCGGCCAAGGTACAGTTCTATATTCTGATGTCGGCCAGGGTACAGTTCTATATTCTGATGTCGGCCAGGTTACAGTTCTATATTCTGATGTCGGCCAAGGTACAGTTCTATATTCTCATGTAGGCCAGGGTACAGTTCTATATTCTCATGTCGGCCAGGGTACAGTTCTATATTCTCATGTCAGCCAGGGTACAGTTCTATATTCTCATGTCAGCCAGGGTACAGTTCTATATTCTGATGTCGGCCAGGGTACAGTTCTATATTCTCATGTCGGCCAGGGTACAGTTCTATATTCACATGTTGGCCAGGCAACAGTTCTATATTCTCATGTCAGCCAGGGTACAGTTCTATATTCTCATGTCAGCCAGGGTACAGTTCTATATTCTCATGTCAGCCAGGGTACAGTTCTATATTCTCATGTCAGCCAGGGTACAGTTCTACATTCTCATGTCAGCCAGGGTACAGTTCTATATTCTGATGTCAGCCAGGGTACAGTTCTATATTCTGATGTCAGCCAGGGTACAGTTCTATATTCTGATGTCGGCCAGGATACAGTTCTATATTCTCATGTTGGCCAGGGTACAGTTCTATATTCTCATGTAGGCCAGGGCATAGTTCTATATTCTGATGTCAGCCAGGATACAGTTCTATATTCTCATGTCAGCCAGGATACAGTTCTATATTCTGATGTCGGCCAGGGTACAGTTCTATATTCTCATGTTGGCCAGGGTACAGTTCTATATTCTCATGTTGGCCAGGGTACAGTTCTATATTCTCATGTCAGCCAGGATACAGTTCTATATTCTCATGTCAGCCAGGGTACAGTTCTATATTCTCATGTCAGCCAGGATACAGTTCTATATTCTGATGTCGGCCAGGGTACAGTTCTATATTCTCATGTTGGCCAGGGTACAGTTCTATATTCTCATGTTGGCCAGGGTACAGTTCTATATTCTCATGTCAGCCAGGGTACAGTTCTACATTCTCATGTTGGCCAGGGTACAGTTCTATATTCTCATGTCGGCCAGGGTACAGTTCTATATTCTCATGTAGGCCAGGGCATAGTTCTATATTCTCATGTCAGCCAGGGTACAGTTCTGTAGTCTCATGTTGGCCAGGGTACAGCTCTATTTTCTCATGTAGGCCAGGGCATAGTTCTATATTCTCATGTCAGCCAGGGTACACCATTAGGTAGTGCATTACACAACAACATACATACACAAGAAGGGATTCATGTTTACCAATTTTCCTCACTGTTAATCTTCCTTTGGTGAGTGAGTTTCTGGGATCATAAGAAGACATCCATCTTGTCACTGTATGACACAACAGAGATGCCTGCGGACATTGTGGAAACTGATTCATTGATTTGAAATAGAAAGTATTGACAAGGTATATAAAAGAAAAACAGAATAATGGGTCTGGACATATTACGTTGGTTGGATTGTAGTTTTACGCCGCACTCAGCAATATTCCAGCTATATGACGGTGGTCTGTAAGTAATCGAGTCTGGACCAGACAATCCAGTGATTGACATCATGAGCATTGATCCACGCAATTGGGATCAATGACATGCATCAACCAAGTCAGCGAGCCTGACCACCCGATCCCGTTAGTCGCCTTTTACGACAAGCATAGTCGCCTTTTATAGCAAGCATGCGTTGCTGAAGACCTATTCTACCCCGGATCTTCACGGGTCTACATATAACGTAAAAGTCTAACACCAAACTGAATCATTCACACATGTAAACATCACTTAATCAGTGGAAACATCTTCCCGAGGCAAGAGCGTCCACTAGCCTTTTTATCAAAGTCGTGTTTCCACCCTTGCCACATCAAGCCCCCTTTCCTGTGCTAAATATTATTGGACTATCGTACATACCGATTGTCCAGTCAGAGAACGTTTCACAAAATAATCATCCATGACTGGTACACCTTTGTATGAAAGTTATTTATCGCTGTCTATGTTTTTGTGTCAGGGATGAAATCGCAAATGTTTTCATTATCTGATTGACTAGGACATCGCCTATAGTCTCCATCTTTGTGAAGTTATATGAGATAAGAACAGCGATCTGATTGGATATCATGTTTTCAATACAAGGGGCACAACTCGTGATCTACGTGATGTGGCAAGGGTTGAGCCAAGAAAAGTGGCCTTGATGTGGCAAGGGTAGAAACTGGGCCTTGATGTGGCAAGGGTACAAAACTGGGCCTTGATGTGGCAAGGGTAGAAACTGGGCCTTGATGTGGCAAGGGTAGAAACTGGGCCTTGATGTGGCAAGGGTAGAAACTGAGCCTTGATGTGGCAAGGGTAGAAACTGGGCCTTGATGTGGCAAGGGTAGAAACTGGGCCTTGATGTGGCAAGGGTAGAAACTGGGCCTTGATGTGGCAAGGGTAGAAACTGGGCTTTGATAAAGGCAAGTGGACACGCTTGCCTCGGGAAGATGGAGTAGACATGCTAAAGATGGAGAAGGTTAGTTTCAGAAAGCACATAGATGCCTGAAGAGTCTGCAGAATATTGTCATATTTATATCATATTATCTGTGAGCCACCAGGAGAAAAGGGCCTTATTGGTGCAGGGATACAACTGTGCTGTGACGTCATAAATACGTTTGACGTCAACCTCCTTTCACTGAAGATCGCCATGTGTGCGCACTGTACAAATATTTTATTTATCTCGTTAGTTCATTATGTAATAAAAACATTATTTAAAAACTTTTCAGCATACATAGCTACTTTCAATTCATCAGACATTATGCCTAAAAACTGGAATTATTGCATAAACAGTTATTAGTCGGAAAATGAGTTTAATTGTTTGATGTCATGTATCTCTGTAATCAACCTAAATTGAAGTTTGTGAATAGTATTTTCGTGTGCCGAAGATACTGTAGTTTTAAAATATAATGAAAAGTCAAACGTGATTTTTCACCCATAAGTTCCCTTATCTCTTGGTGGGTCATATATGTTATAATGTCTGAACCAGGCATCGCTTGCAAAGATCCCCAATGCCAGGTACATTTGACATTGTCTATTTGATGGGTATGTCCTTCAAGTGATAATAAAACAAGATTGAACATCCATAAGCAATGAGGCCCAACCTTCCGTGGGATTAAAGCTAGCACAGTTAGGACAAGCTCTGCCCAACACTGCTGAAATCACGCTACAAAAGATGTAAATTTGTATATTTGTGTGGCTGAAAGGCACATGTTGTGAAATCGATATCATCTGAAAAGTCTAGACCTGCCGTGCTATTGCTGGAATATTGCTAAAAGCAGCGTAAAACCATACTCACTCACTCACTGAAAAGTCTAGATCTACTTCCATATCATTTCAAAGATAATTAGACTGACATTTTACACCGGCAAATGAAGACAGAATCCAATGTTTTAATTTATTTTTTAGTTCTTACCATATTTGTATCGACATACATTGTACCGACAGTTGAAAGCCCAGTTGAGTGGCTATTACCAGAACAAAAAATAATTTCTGTATTTTCTATCTCAAATCAGGATTCATGACAGCTATTGTATGTGCATGCCTTGAAAGATAAACTCCCACTTCCGGCAGAACTGTCGTCTGCTTCCATAATGTAAAGCAAAAGGAAAAGTTAATCTATGGACTTCATCTCCCTTCATGTGATGTGTTTGATGGGTGACAAAGGGCTAGGCCAACAAGTCTGGCCAACAAGTCTGGCCAACAAGTCTCTGGCCAACAAGTCTCTGGCCAACAAGTCTCTGGCCAACAAGTCTGGCCAACAAGTCTCTGGCCAACAAGTCTGGCCAACAAGTCTGGCCAACAAGTCTCTGGCCAACAAGTCTGGCCCACAAGCCTTTGGCCAACAAGTCTGGCCAACAAGTCTGGCCAACAAGTCTGGCTAACAAGTCTCTGGCTAACAAGTCTCTGGCCAACAAGTCTGGCCAACAAGTCTCTGGCCAACAAGTCTGGCCAACAAGTCTCTGGCCAACAAGTCTGGCCAACAAGTCTGGCCAACAAGTCTCTGGCCAACAAGTCTCTGGCCAACAAGTCTGGCCAACAAGTCTCTGGCCAACAAGTCTCTGGCCAACAAGTCTGGCCAACAAGTCTGGCCAACAAGTCTCTGGCCAACAAGTCTCTGGCCAACAAGTCTGTGGCCAACAAGTCTGGCCAACAAGTCTGGCCAACAAGTCTCTGGCCAACAAGTCTGGCCAACAAGTCTGGCCAACAAGTCTCTGGCCAACAAGTCTCTGGCCAACAAGTCTCTGGCCAACAAGTCTGTGGCCAACAAGTCTGGCCAACAAGTCTGGCCAACAAGTCTCTGGCCAACAAGTCTCTGGCCAAAACTGGAACACCCCTTTCTAAAAATAACATTGTATCTCTTTTAGTGTGAGTGAGTGAGTTGTGTTTAACATCGCTTTTAACAGTATTCCAGTTACATCATGGCGTGTCAGCTTAATGTGGGAGGAAAGCCTGAAGTGATGCAGGTCTCGGACATTTACCACTTTGGTGAAACCCACGAGCACGAGTATGATGCTGACAAACCTAGAAATATTATCGGGGTGAAATGGGATTCGAACCCACAATCATACGTTTCTGGCGTGCCCAAGGAACGCAACTCTGCACAGCGAACTGCGGCGCCTTCGACGACTGGACCACCAATACCCCCGTCTCTTTTAGTACATTTTTACAATTCCAGACCATAATAAAAGTCTTTGTTGGCCATATATGGACAGTACAGTCCAATCAACACTAACCCTTCACAGTTTCACCCTGTCGTCCTTTACCTAACCAGTCTTATTGAGCTCGCACTGGTCTCAACATCACGATTGTGTGATATAGGTGATTGGACATATTGATAATGTAACAAGAGCTAATAATTTGTTTATGTGGTTTATAAACTGTAAAACGAAACACAAAACACGATGTGTGTGTCTCTTGATATTCGTGGTTGTCAGACCCTACATAGTCTCACAGACATGCCTTGAGATCAATATACTATAGAACAAAGCCCTACATGTACTTTCTGATGTATACACTATTGTAACAAGATAACTTTAATCAAGAGATTATCCCCCGACCCACTCCTTGGCAGGGGATGATGGTATACAATCATGAGTGAGTGAGTGAGTGAGTTGGTTTTAACGCCGCTTTTAACAGTATTCCAGTTATATCACACCGTGTCAGCTTAATGTGGGAGGAAAGCCCGAAGTGATGCAGGTCTCAGACGTTTACCACTTCGGTGAAACCCACGAGCACGGGTATAGTGCTGACAAACCCAGAAACATAATTGGGGCGAACCGGGATTCTGCAACTCTCAATCATAGGTTTCTGGCGTGCCCAAGGGATGCAACTCTGCACAGCGAATCGCGGCGCCTCAGACAACTGGGCCACCCGTGCCCCCTTACAATCATGAAGAAGCCTGCATTACATTCTCCATGAATATTACTTTGTATGGGAGTACAATTCCATCAATGTGTTTTTTTCCATCTTTTGAGAAGTTAACAAATATTGTCTTCAAACAAATGACGAGAAGTCGATTGATTGTCGTTGATTTACTGCATAGACACATACTGATTATAATATTCTTGGGTTGTCCGGTACAGTCTGGTGTGGCAATTTATAGACTGCTGTAAAATAACTTGAATTATTACTAAGTGCATTTCATCTTTAACTACTTGAAAGAAATTTCTCCATATCACAACTTTTTAAATATGAATGTGAAGAACCTTATTCGACCCAATAAGCCCCCAGGGTGCTTAAAATAAAGACAGAAGGGGTGGGCGCTTATTGGGACCAATTCAGAGTCAAATTGGCGTAAATTCATCAGTAAGCCTATCGACATTCTTCTGTTGCTGTGGGGCTAGAGATAAACTGTTACTTACGCTTTACTGGTGAACATCTCCTCATTAACCAACTACAAAAGATTCTTGACCGTATGTAAAAAACAGGTGAGTAAATCTTACTTGGGCATCCGGGAAAAAGGGGGGGGCTTATTGGGACATGGGCGCTTATTGGGTCGAATACGGTAATTGCTTGTTTTCAAATTTGGAGTGATGCTTTTAGATGTTTAGAGATTATTCATGTTAAATTACCACAAAGGTTATTTTGCCCCTTTAAGTTTGATCACCTCACTGCTGAGCATTGTTTTACATTGTTTTACATTGTATTGTCTAGTACTGTGTAAAACCACCAGTAGCTCAAGTGATGACGTAAATCCTGCCTGGTATTACACAGGAAGCAGGGGCAGGACACATCCCCGAATGACAAAATTTGCATAACTATATCTGCATGGATTATTTCATATGATACGTTCATGGCAGTATTTGCGTGGTACATGTATATACTTTAGCTGGCTGCACGTGAATGATGATTTCATCATCAGGAATAATAGGATATTAAGACAGCTTGTCAACCAATAATTTACCTGACATTGTTAGCCAAGAAATATTTGCTTATACTCGTGTTGATGTTTACACCATGCACATTTGTGAAGGGAAAGTTGTTTCCCTTCTGATGTTGGGATACAACATCGTTAAAAGGACATAACGTGGAATTAGTGTAAAACATACTCAACAACAAAAGTTCCTGTGACACCAATATTTTAGTGTATTTTTCAAACAAGTGAAGTTTGGTTTTCAATATTATAGTACATGTATGGAATCAAGTCACAAAAACGCAACTGCTACAGAAAAGCATGCATTCCATGCAAAAGTTGACTTTTATGCAAGCCCCATGCATTTCATTACCCAAGAATGTGTATAAAAACATGTGCGTTAACGAGATTCCATATGCATTGTTTAGCATCGTGCTGACAACAACCACTCAGAAAAACAACAAAATTATGCAATTATTCAACATTACGAAATGCCACTCCTGTCCGAAAATGAGCGTCTGCGAGCCATTGGTATGCTTGAAGCAGGATAGAGTCAACGTGATGTTGCAAGACAATTTAACAACCACAGAAACACCATTTGGTGTTTACGGCAACGTTGGCAACAGGCGATTGCAGTCAGAGACCATCCTCGGAGTGGCAGGCCACGCGTAACCAATAATCGACAAGACAACTGGATTCAAACAACACACCTACGAGCACGTCAAGCACGTCTACAGTGGTGCAGACAGTGTCTATGCTGGATGGCCATGCAGTGGGGACAAGTTCTATTCACTGACGAGTCTCGTTTTCACCTCAGCCAATGGTGATGGACGGATTCAAGTGTACCGACGTCGAGGTGAACGTTAATCATTGTGTCATGGTAGAAGATCGGTTCGGGGGCGGCAGCGTTATGGTATGGGGTGGGATTACAGCAAGACAGAAGACCCGTTTGTTGTTCTACCGTTTTTGCGTCGTCATGGCCCAGGCATTACCTTTCAACATGACAACGCCCGGCCTCAAATTGCTCGACTTGTCCAGGATTCTCTTCAACAAAACAACGTGAATGTCATCCCCTGGCCGGCTCACTCCTCTGATCTCTCACCAATCGAGCACATGTGGGATGAGATGGATCGGCGCCTTCGACGTCAACCACGTGTTCCACAGACACTCCAGGAACTTCGAAACATGCTCCAGCAGATATGGACAGATATCCCACAGGACTTTGTGCGACGCCTGGTCCATTCCATGAGACGAAGATGTGTTGCTTGCATTGCAACCAGAGGTGGACATACACGCTATTGATTTGTGAATTGACATTTTGGCATGTTCATGTTTTTTTATGAAATCACTCATTTTCTGAAGTCAGTATGGCAAATTAAACCATTTGAACACTTACAGGAGTCTTTTATCTGTTGCAAACCAAAATTGTTTCAGATTTGGTAAAAAACATAACTTTGCATTAAATCTTATTCAATGTCACAGGAACTTTTGTTGTTCAGTATAATTACCAAATTGTTATTTATTGATTGAAAACATCTTGGAATATTAAGGTTCCATCATACCATTAAAAACAGAATGTTTGGTTTAGTTTTTATTCATGTCATAATTTCATGACATTTTTTCTGTAACCTAGATGAAACTAAAATTGTTGTATCTACAATTGGTGGCGTGTTATCACAGCATAACAAAATGTTACTTGAATGATGTACAACTTGATTGTGTTACATTATATAAATGTCTGGGGGTTTTGTTTTCAAGATCACTGTCATGGACTCCTAATGTGAAGAATTGTGCCTTACAGGCAAAAATATACTTTGTGGTGTCTTTAAATCTTTAAACATATTCAAGCCACGTCCATGAGTCATGTTTAAAAATATTTGTTACAAAACTTTGATACTAAACTTAGTCCAATTTTATCATATGGTTCAGAAATTTGGGGAGTTGAAAATTGTGAAGAAATTGAAACTGTTCATATGTTTGCATGTAAGCATTTTGTGTGTGCAAAGCAATCATCATCTACCCTAAAGCAAGAGGCCGGTGTGGAAGGTACCCAATGTCTATGGTTACTCATGAGACGGCTATCAAATACTGGTGCAAAATTAGTTACATTCCACAATCCAGATTTGTTAGTAAATGTTATAATTTATTGTTATAGGACTGTAAAAATGGAAAGGCTAATTGGGTTTCCAAAATAAAATATATTCTATTTTCTTTGGGATTGGGCAACATTTGGGAGCAGAAGTGTGTAATTAATGTTTCAAATTTTTTGTCGGAATTTCATTTTAGACCTAAGTGTTCATATGAGCAAGATTGGCACGTTCCCCTTGCATCAAGCTCCAAATCGCAATCATATATTCAATCTAAAACCTGAGTTGGCCTAGTAACTTATATAGAAGAGTTGTCCATTTCCAAACTTAGGGTTGCACCTGCTCAGTTGATATGCTGCTCACACCAGCTCAGAATGGAGATATATTAAAGTGCCTAAAGCAGACAGATTTTATTCTAATATGCAATGTATATAATAATTTGAGATATAAGTACACACCTCAGAAATTCTATGTAAATCTATCCAAACATAAGTTTAACATGTTAAAGCCGTCAATGAATGCACCTACTCTGCAATAGTGAGCCACTTATGTCTACAAAGCTCTGCGCCTCAGAGCTTCATTAATATGAACAACTTGTCATGGAATAGTGGAAACGTGTGTTCGGAATAGCCCGACACTTGTGTTCGGAATAGTGGAAACATGTGTTCGGAATAGCAGAAACATGTGTTCGGAATAGCCCGACACTGGTGTTTGGAATAGCGGAAACATGTGTTCGGAATAGCCCGACACTGGTGTTTGGAATAGCGGAAACATGTGTTCGGAATAGCCCGACACTGGTGTTTGGAATAGCGGAAACATGTGTTCGGAATAGCACGACACTGGTGTTGGGAATAGCGGAAACATGTGTTCGGAATAGCCTGACACTGGTGTTTGGAATAGCGGAAACATGTGTTCGGAATAGCCCGACACTGGTGTTTGGAATAGTGGAAACATGTGTTCGGAATAGCCCGACACTGGTGTTTGGAATAGCGGAAACATGTGTTCGGAATAGCCCGACACTGGTGTTTGGAATAGCGGAAACATGTGTTCGGAATAGCCCGACACTGGTGTTTGGCATAGCGGAAACATGTGTTCGGAATAGCACGACACTGGTGTTTGGAATAGCGGAAACATGTGTTCGGAATAGCACGACACTGGTGTTTGGCATAGCGGAAACATGTGTTCGGAATAGCCCGACACTGGTGTTTGGAATAGCGGAAACATGTGTTCGGAATAGCCCGACACTGGTGTTTGGCGGAACTGACAAGAGTAAAACATATATAAAGTTGACAACGTCAAATACCGGCCTCTCTCCAACAGGTTTGCAGGACTACATGTATTTACTGGTCTTGCGTGTGAATATGATTCACATTGAAAAGGTTTGTTGTATGTATTAATTATTATTTCATGTTATGAAACATAGCACAAATTAGATGGGATATATTGTTAGCTGTAATACCCGACAACGTTCTATCAAGAAATTACTGGATTAGGGCTATAAGTGTTGGTATTCACTCTCTGAGATTCATATAAGTTGAAATTCGATACCTGTAACGTCTTCATTCAGAATCTGGTGTTAAGGTGACTCAAAGACATGTTGCGTGACTGAAAGGAAAGGCAAAAATAAACAAGAAAATATTAATTAAGTAGACTTAATCATTTATGGATAATAACGTGCGAAAACTGGGGGACTGACATTGTGAGCGACAACTATTTAGCAGAGTAAGATAGCATGCACCTATTATCCTGACAATATCTAGATAACTCTCGACTGGTTCGTACGCTATACAATAATGACTGTAAGGTATATAATCTGCCAAACAACAGCTTGAAAATACACTACGACGAAAAATCTGACACTCATACTCACTGAGGATTGTTTACAAAGGGAGGTAACAAGAGCAACATGTTTAGTACACACCGCTAAATATTGAAAGCAAATTAATTTTATCAACATATTTATGCAGAGGATTGTCTGGTTAAGACTCGATTATTTAAAAGCTTCAGCAACCCATGTTGTTTAACGCCGTACTCACTAATATTCCAGCTCTATGACATTTGTAAATAATCGAGTCTGGTTCAGAAAATCAAGCGATTGACATGTCCCATGAGCATCGATCATCGCAAAAGGGATAGATACATTGCATCAACCAAGTCAGCGAGCCTGACCACCCGATCCCGTTAGTCGCCTCTTACGACAAGCATAGTCACCTGTTAGGCCAACAAACCTGATCTTGTATTTTTTGATAAATCCAATGAAATCATTTATATTATTGAACTTTCTGTCCCTTTTGACTCTTATGTGATTGACAAGATTTAGGAAAAACATGGCAAATATGCGGACCTCGCTTTCGAGATGTCACGCTTGCATCCCAAGTACCAAGTTGTCGGACTCCCAATTGTACTCGGTGCCTTAGGTTTAGTACCTCCCAGTCTGTTGACTGACATTGGGGGAGTGCCCTGGTTTGCTAGGAGGAATACAGCCCTTCTGACAATCTGGGTAATGCAGAAGGCTGCAGTGTTGGGGAGTCTTCACATTCTCCGAAAAGTTCTTGGTGGGTTTGACTGGGCAGCGCTTCCTGGGAGAAGTCCCATTCGCTGTCTGGGCTGCGTGTAGAGGGGGCAAGGGCCCTGAGCTGATGATGAGCCTAACCAGCCTGACCGTGCCAGGATCACCCGAACCCTCTTTGCTGCAGTTTTCATTTTAATCTGTACATAATAATGAGGGTGATGATGGTGATCATGATGATAGTAATAATTCAAGTTCAAGATTATTACACTGTACAGCGACGTGCATCCACGTGTGTGTGTGTGTGTGTGTGTGTGTGTGTGTGTTTGCGCGCGCGCGCTCGTGTGTGCGTGTGTGGCTGCTTGCTCTAGTCGACCTCTGCCGGCTTTATATTGCGAGACCAATGAGATACCATATCGCAGTTTAACATGAATACCCCACTCAGACACAATATACTGACTCCGAGCAGACCCTTAAGGCCAAGCGTCAGACAGATTAACAAGTATAGTGAGTCGCTTAACGTCTTTTACTATGACAGGGATCGTACCACCGATCTTCGTCCGGGCGGTACTGCTTACAGGAAACAAAATACATGTAGATCAGTTTCACAGAATACCACTATCGTAATTCCACGACCCATGTCAAAGCATTAACATGAAATATTCAGTGTTCTCTTTAAAGATAATTTTAACCATAATTCATTAATAATCAACACTAATGTTCGACTGTTTGAAACTTTAAACCATAAACTATTGATTGTATCTATTGTTTTCCGTAGATGTGTTTTACTGATTATTTCAATAGTACAATGAACCTGATACTATTTCAAAATTATCTTAAATAATTGAATAATTGGTCTCGGTACAACGTTACTCGTCTTGACTTTTACCGTTGTTACTCAGCGCGCCCTCCAGGCAGTGTTGGTATTCTGTGTGTCACACAGGATGCTGGCCTTCTCCGGACTTGGGCTGCATATGCTCATGCTGATTGAGGTCTTTGCAGGTAGAACAGTTTTACTATTATTATGCTTATTATTATGTACAGATTAAAATAGAAACATGCAGCAAAGAGGGTTCGGGTGATCCTGGCACGGTCAGGCTAGTTAGGCTCATCATCAGCTCAGGGCCCTTGCCCCCTCTACACGCAGCCCAGAAAGCGAATGGGACTTCTCCCAGGAAGCGCTGCCTAGTCAAACCAACCAAGAACTTTTCGGAGAATGTGAAGACTCCCCAACACTGCAGCCTTCAGCATTTCCAAGATTGTCAGGAGGGCTGTATTCTTGGCAGCAAATCCGGGTACGCCCCCAATGTCAGCCAACAGATTAGGAGGTACCAAACCTAAGGCACCGAGAACAATGGGAGTCGGACAACTTGGTACTTGGGATGCAAGCGTGACATTTGAAAGCGAGGTCCGCATATTTGCCATGTTTTTCCTGAATCTTGTCAATCACATTATTGTCAAAAGGGACAGAAAGTTCAATTATATAAATGATTTCATTGGATTTATCAAAAAATACAAGATCAACTTTGTTGGCCTTGATAGGCCTGAGGCTGCATACGGACCTATTCCAAAGAATTTTGTATAGTCCAAGCGAAGGACTCTGCAGGGTTGCTGATCATCTCAACACACTGCACATACACTCGATGCAGTGGTCGTTCAGATAGCCTCTCCTTGAAAAACTTAGCCTGGGCCGATTTGACATGGCATTTCGCTTGGTTGACACTGGTCAACAAAATTAGCACTGACATTGAGATTATGGTTCACATCCTTGGCTCGTTTAAGAAAACTGTTGAATGCCTTGTTTTCATCATGAGTCTTGACATGCTTCACAAGAGGATCATCAGACAAATAAATGTGTGCAAAAATGCACAGTACAATTCTATCACGAAGAGCCTCCACGTTAATCAAACCACGTCTTACCATTATAATTGGTACATATAAGTGATTGGGGGACGAGATAGGGGTGGGATCTAATGTTTGGCATGGTTCTTCGTCTGAAGGTGTCAATACCGTGAATTTCTTGTTTCGTCCAATCAACAACACCAAAAGAATATGAAAGGGCGGCTACAGCATAAGTATTTGTGGTTTTGACTTTATTGCGAGCGTTTAGCTCTGAACTCCAGATTTTCTTATGTCTACATTTGTACTCTGCCCGAAGTGTTTCCTTGATATGGGCATTCTGGAGTTTGTCCCTAATCTGCATTCCCAAAGGACGTATAGGCCTGACCTTCCACGAGATGGTCAATAACTCCTTCTCCAAGTAAACTGACTGATCCCCCCTCTTCACCTTGCCACGTTTCAGATGAAGAATGTTGCACTTGTCGAGTCCAAAGTACATGCCCATGTCATAAGAAAAGGACTCGACAAGGATATTCTGGATTTATTAGTGTTGAGCCTCCATTGGCAATAAGCTCAAGGTCATCCATGTAAAGGAGGTGAGTAAGGGGTGTTGGGGATCTGTGCTGAGGAGGTCCAGGATGATAACCTTCCTCTTTGCTTAGCAACAAGCTTGAAGTGTTTAAGTGGCAAAGAGGAAAGAAAAGGAGGAAAGGGATAACGCTGAATATTCCTCTTCTAATTGGAATGGGTTCCGTAATCACCACCTGCCCCTGCGAATACGTCTCAAGTTGAGTTGACCAGCAACTCATTCAAGACTTGAGTAAACCAAGTAGTCGCTCGGGGAGGTCAATACATTCCAGTGACTTCACATTCTTTTCCTTTAGGGACAGAATCATAAGCTTTTATCTAGTCTATTCAACACATTAAGGGTTACGGTGGTAAGTTTTAATCTCTTCAAGGATAATGTTTTAACCAGCAATTCATCCCTACAACCGACCATATCCCTTTCTGCCTCCTTTCTGTCTATGCAAACAATGTCTTTGGAAGCGAAGTATGATGACATAAGATCTGTAAGACACCCTGTAAATAGTTTGTTTTGTGTATTCAGACAAGTAATATGGCGGGTGTTTTTGGGATAAATGAATTCACCTTTCTTTGGGAGAAGTACATTTAGAAAGTGGTCAAAAGTAACAAATGTTATATTTGGGAAACACTTTCTTAGTAAAGAACTGATTCTCGTACTTTTTTGGTTTCTAAATCGCATTGTGTGTTCATTTATCAATGTAGATACGCAAAGCATATTTTTATGCCATTTCGTTCAGCCATTGTCACTGCTATAATTGTTCTTTCAAGTCTAGACAATGCAACATACGCTGTTGCTAACATAGGATGAGCCAACAAAAGAGTTTGTATGCCATTCAGTTCAACTTTTAAATATGTATCATGTATGCCACTATGATTGTAACAACTTTATACCTCTTGTGCCTTGAAAACTATACCAAATGTTACAAAAGTCATCATTGTAAAGACATATTACTAGTTCTGTTTTCATGATATTCTTTTACTAGTCGTATAATACAAATGTATTAAAACGCAAATGTGTCATGTTCTAATTCCTGATTCTGAAGGTACCTCAAGCAAATTACAATTTGTTTCACCTTCGGGGTTGCATATGTGCGTTTTATGACAGTATAGCTACTTGCATCAACTGGTGGGTGTGATACGTAGTGTCTTGGCGCCGTCTTCATCCTCATGATCCAAGTTATCGTGTAATGCCTATAGTATGTTATTTACATCCTTTTAGGATGCTGCTCATAGATCTTTCATCCTTTTAGGAGAGATGTTCCACAACCTAGCGCATGACAAGAAGGCGACAATAAACCGGGACCGCTTCCCCCCCAAACCTGTTCCTTTCACCGTTGATGGGACAACGAAAAGGAACCCTGCATTCATGTCCAACGGAGGATCATTTGTGTGGCGCGTGGACCTTGGCAACCGCTGCCAAATATCTACAGTAATTCTCGCCCTGAAGAAAATGCCCAAGAGTAAGATATGCATGTGTGATTATTGTATTGATATGAAACTATAACCGGCGGCCTGGGAATAATCGAGTCTGCACTAGCTGATTTGTGGTTGATATCATGAGCATCGTACCACACCGCTTGGCATGATATCAAGCTGGTAACCATCCACCCAATCCACGTAGTCGCATCTCACGGCAAGAATATTCCTAGGGTGGAAGGGGGATGTAGTCGGTCATACATTTGTATTTCACATTATATTCAGAATGGAACTTATCACGAAACATTATGGGATACTAGACATACACAAAACATTAGTTGGTTATGAGGTTTCCTGACGGTCATTTTGGCCGACACATGATAGTGTTTGATTCTGTTCTATCTTATTTGTTGCCGTGAAAATCACCTCGGCTAATGTGTGTACGAGTATTTGTGATTGGAGTCATGACTACAAGATCACCTTACATTTGCAGTCTAAATAAAGTGATCTTAAATAATGCAGAGAAGCATGCCATGGAAAACGTAACTCAAAATCAGTCAAGGAAAAATACAATATATTGTACCGTACATTTAGCACAACTGTCACAAGATAGCGTGACTATTCTGTTTCGAAAGTGTCGCGATAGTGGCGTTAAAGTGGCGCGATAGTGGCGTGAAAGTGGCGCGATAGTGCCGTGAAAGTGTCGCGAAAGTGCCGCGATCTTGTAAAATGTTATCGCGAAAGTGTCTCGAAAGTGGCGCAATAGTTTCGCGTTAATGGCTCAAAGGTGGCGCGATAATTCCGCGTTAGTGCCGCAATAGTGGCGAGAAAATTTCGCGAAATGTTCGGGAAATAGGGGAAGTCACTTATGAAATGTAGTGAATGAACGTCAATAAAGCGGGTAATTTGTATGCGAAAATAGGGGAAGTTACTTATGAAATGTAGTGTATGAACGTCAATAATGCGGTTAATTTGTATGCGAAAATAGGGGAAGTTACTTATGAAATGTAGTGTATGAACGTCAATAATGCGGTTAATTTGTATGCGAAAATAGGGGAAGTTACTTATGAAATGTAGTGTATGAACGTCAATAATGCGGTTAATTTGTATGCGAAAATAGGAGAAGTTACTTATGAAATGTAGTGTATGAACGTAAATAATGCGGTTAATTTGTATGCGAAAATAGGGGAAGTTACTTATGAAATGTAGTGTATGAACGTCAATAATGCGGTTAATTTGTATGCGAAAATAGGGGAAGTAAATTATGAAATGTAGTGTATGAACGTAAATAATGCGGTTAATTTGTATGCGAAAATAGGGGAAGTTACTTATGAAATGTAGTGTATGAAGTCAATAATGCGGTTAATTTGTATGCGAAAATAGGAGAAGTTACTTATGAAATGTAGTGTATGAACGTCAATAATGCGGTTAATTTGTATGCGAAAATGCTGGAACAAATATCCTCCTCGGGTCTAAAAAAATAAAACCTACAATGTGCATGGTGGATGTTCTAAACATGAATGTGTAATGGGCCCAAAACATATTGTTTGACTCTTGTTTTGAAAATGTTCTGTCGCTATTTTGCACAGGAATAATATACATTATATATCATTGCAGGGGCACCTGCAAAGGTTCAGATAACTGTATACAATAACACCTATGATATACGTGCACGCCAAGGCCGTAGATGCTCTACAGGAACGTTGCATGGACCGCAATGGACGGGCGTCTGTATCGAATCTGGGAGATACGTTGTTTTGGATATACATCATCAAGTACGCCTAACCCTTTACGAGGTTCTTGTAATGGGAAACTCATTCCACTATGAAATCTGTGAGTGTGCTATATATATTGAATACCCTATTCTAACATATTTTATATATAAACACGTTATTCAGACAAATCAACCGTCCAGGCCACTATGCTTGATATAAGTTCTAAATTATTGTGTTTTTCAAACATATTGAGTTCGACCTTACAGAGCACGTTTTAACTTATTTTTAACTCTTGGAGCCATAACTTGAGGTATAGATATTGTGAGAGTTCGTCGGGGCCAGACTGTAAGTTCGACACAACCGGGTATTCGACACATCCAAGTTAGAGACAACGGCTCAGTGACTTGGTTGATAACGTGTCATTTACAGCCCACGTAGTTGGAATAGTGTTGCGTGCGGTGTAAAACAACATTGATCATGACTTGTTTACAGTTCTTGCGTGATATATGTATAACGTAACGGCCTCCGCGAGGGTCACTCGTAATGTATGCTTACCATTGTCACTGCGTCTCCGCTGGGTATGTCTTAACATGTAGTGGATATATACTGCCGGGCAAACTAAAGTGTACATCAATGTTTGATGGTGGCTAAAATGTAACAAACATGAAAAGGTTATTCAACAAATGATGTATTTGATACGGGTATCATTGTATGTTTTGAACGTTAAGTTTGCAGTGTTTCGGCGATTACATTCAGCCGAGTAAGGTTTTGATAACGTTTTGATCAAATCCAATTTTCAAGTCCAAGCCGTATAACCGCGGCCTGGAAATAATCGAGTCTGGACCAGACAATCAAGTGATCGATATTGTGAGCAACGATCCACGCCATCGGGGAACAAGTACACCTTTCAACCAAGTCACCCAACCAGACCATCCTCATCCTCTACATGTTCATTACTCGTGTTTCGGTAACCTTCTCTGACCCCTGGACCCACCCACAATGTGTTCGCGATCTCAAATGACCTACTTGACTTGGGTAAGGGAGGTAACTCGTATTGCCGAGAAAGCAAAGCCACTGACATTTTTTATGGAGGTGAAGACATCCTTTCCGTCCAAAAGATTTTTGAAGGATTTCTCAAGCGTGCCAGTTACTTTTCAACATCGTAATCAATAGGACTGGCCGCAAGAGTGTTCATATCTCCAATCAAACATTGAGACTGGTTTGTAACTCGCATAGTGATTGGTTCGTTAGACGTAGTAGCGTAGCCTATCAAATTGGCTAAGGGAAATCAGGGGCAGGTCATTCAAGTTCCATAAACCCTTGTGGATGGGTTCAGGGGTTGGGGAAGGTTTACTGAAATGCAAGCCCTGGACATATAGAGGATGGACCATACTATCATTTTGATCGCCTCGTGCGACCAGCATAGGTTGCTAAACCGGCTCCCCACTCGGGTTTGCCAGGTATAGTTCAACTCACATATCGTTTTAATGTGTCTGTTGAAGATAGCAGCATGGTCTCAACAAGAAAGTTGAAGTAAGTGATTGGCTGAAACTGAGGGTCAATGCCAATACTTTTTAAAACTGGAAATACATACCAATTTTACTGCAGAGCAAATGAAAGTATACACTGAACTAGATTTAACTAAAAAATTACAAAGGTTATCAACACGTTACTAAGCTGAAAACAATCACCGAAACACTGCAAACTTAAGGTTCAAAGCACAAATATCAAATACATCACCAACAAATATACTTCATTGTTTGTGTCATGTTTAGCTGGGGGCATGGGTGGCCCGGTCGTCTTAGGCGCCGCGATTCGCTGTGCAGAGTTGCGTCCCTTGGGCACGCCAAAAACCTATGATTGTGGGTACGAATCCCGGTTCACCCTAATTATGTTTCTAGGTTTGTCAGGACCATACCCGTGCTCGTGGGTTTCACTGAAGTGGGAAACGTCTGAGACCTGCATCACTTCGGGCTTTCCTCCCACATTAAGCTGACACACCGCGATATAACTGGAATATTGTTAAAAGCGGCGTAAAACCCAACTCACTCACTTAGTCATGTTTAGCTACAATCAAACATGGATGAAGACGTTCCTTTGCCCGGCAGGAGGTAGCGGGAGATACTGGACATTCTGCGTTAGAGTCGCGCTGCATATGACAGCTTTCGTATGAAGGTAGTCAGAGAACTGGGACTTAGGGTTTCAAATTGTACAGCACTGCATTTAGGCCCAATCAAGAACTGATGTAATTAGTGTTGAGTTGATCAGTGTGGAATGCCTTTAGGTTCCTCATTATGTTAGATGGAGACAAGGTACATTAATTTGGTGTGAGTTTGAAGTGGACGTGCATTTCTCAAAACAAGAGATAATGACATGAGACTGAAAATGCGTGGTGGTATATAATGATTTCTGGGGCCTTCCAGAAATGACAGCGACGACTGTTTTTGGACAAGGAACTTGCAAACACGTTTCTAGTTACATCTGTTTCTCTTTCTTAAATAGCCAAATCTGCAGGGAAGTACGACAACCTTGCACTCGGTAAACCAGTGAAAATGAGTACTGCGTTCAAAATAAATATCCTCAAACCCGCACTAACAGTCGATGGTCGAGACACAATGGACTCTGTGTATGCTTCGGGGAAATGTACGTGGGCTGCAACTATGTTTCTGGATGCCGAACCGTGGTGGTTTGTGGATCTGGGTCAAATGTGCCAAGTCCATGGTCTCCGAATAATACATCTGTTTCTTTATGGTAAGCCAGGTTAATACTGTGTATGATAATAAACATTGAGCATACATTCACGTTATAAGCCTTATTGTAAAAGTAATAGGAATGTGTGCTGCAATATGATTGGTTGTAAGACGTTGTTAAATAGGAATGTGTGCTGCAATATGATTAGTTGTAAGACGTTGTTACATAGGAATGTGTGCAGCAATATGATTGGTTGTAAAACGTTGTTAAATAGGAATGTGTGCAGCAATATGATTGGTTGTAAAACCTTGTTATATAGGAATGTGTGCAGCAATATGATTGGTTGTAAAACCTTGTTATATAGGAATGTGTGCTGCAATATGATTGGTTGTAAAACGTTGTTAAATAGGAATGTGTGCTGCAATATGATTAGTTGTAAAACGTTTTTAAATGGGTTGGGACTTGAAAATCTTTCGGACTTTGCCCGATTTTTCTTGACCACTTTTTTAATCTATAGCCAAATTTTAAAATAACGCGCGATTTGAAATGGATACCCTTTAAAATTCTGCAATTCATTCACATTCTGCTACCCAGGGTCATTAAGCATGAAATCATTTGACGTCATCCATTTAAGGGTTGTTTTTAATTCTTTGTGTATTTATCGAAGGATAACAGTGACAAGCGTAGCTGAATTTATGGCAAACATTATTACAATGCAAATCATCCTTTCGAAGATTAAAAAGTTGCATTGACTCAAGGATAAACATGTATGCTGTCCCTCACAGTCAACGCCCTGTTTCACATACATGTCTCGTACAGAGATATTTTTGCACCAAGACTGCAATATGACATCAATGTATATGTTTGTTAAACTTTTAAACCAAAATCGTTACAGTACACTATTTATAAAGTATGTAATTGTCATGCATCACTTATTTGGTACAGTTTTATTTGCAAGATCTTTCGGAAACTTTAACACAGGGTCTGATCGGATGTGATAGTAACTAAATAATCTTAACACACTGAAAATTAATACCCTATTTTCAATCTAAACGAGATGATTAAATGCACTGTTGTGCTTCATATCTACCAAAAACATCTGTGTATTTCGTTTATGAGAAAATGATGCTCTAATACTGACCACAGATGAGGAATATCTTTTCAGCTGAAGATTAAAGGGTCTTATGCGACTGAGAAATGTATGTCCTACTATGTGGTTCTAATAATCGTAATAAAGATGAACTCTCTGGGTCTTGTGGCTACTGAGAAGCGAATAATCAAAATAAAATTAATGATTATTATTTTTTACTAGATTGCCAGTTCATCACCTGACTGAAACATAAAGTTTTTCTATAAACATGAATAACCCCACTCAGACTCCGAAGCGCCAAGCAGGAAAACTGAAAGTACCATATTTTAGCGTCTTTGTTGTTACCCGACCGGAATCGAACCACCGACCTTTGGCTCTCTATCATTTGGACCTGAAAGTATTAAGCGATTAACAAAATTATTAGGGTCCTTTTCCATTTCTTGTTTATTCTCAAACCGTGATCACTGAATGTGAACAGTTAATACACGACTAGACAATGCCGTTTAGAAAGTGATCACATGTAACAAATGTTATAAACTGAAGAACAAAAGAAAACACATCTCTCAGTTGATTATATCATATGTTTGATTTTCAATTAAAACCTTTAATAATTAAAAAAAGGAATTCGCATAATACACAATTGCTTGTGGGTATGTTAGACATCTCATCTTTAAAAATAAATAATTGTGCTTTTTCAGCAAAAAATGGTGGGGTCATGTGGTCAATTCATTTCTTACCCAGATCTTCATTGAACCAATGTTTATTTACAAAACATTACCCATCCACAGATTACTTTTTACAAACTGTTGCTGGAATGAGTGGTGGTGAAATAGACAATATCAAATTTAACACCACTTCTTTCAATTTTCAATTACAGAAAAAACAACCTCAGTATTTTTTCTTGTGCCCCTCAGTTTATTTGGTTTTACACTTTCTTAGTAAAGAATACATTTGGAACCCACTCTCTTAGCGTGAGGCACCTAATCACCAGTGTGTATGGGTTCGAATCCCGGATGGGAATCAACCCCCAAAAGTATTAGAATTTGTACTTAACTAACAAAGTGTAACCCCACATACAACATGTGCTAAGTTTAAGAACAGTGAGTCCTTTTGACTTGTAGTTAACGATTTGTCATGTGAGTGTTTCATCATTATCTGTATGATTGTACCAGGGAGGCCTTACAACACTACGGTTGAGGTGCTCAGTGAGGACCCTGGAAACCCTTCACAACCGGGCTTTTTTTGTTTTTACCTCGAAGGAGACATCACTCAAGAGGTGGAATTCGACTGCCTGAGGCCAATCATTGGCAGATACGTCCGACTGAGGAAAATGAAAAACACCAAGTTGAAGGACGACTGCTTGGGACTGTGTGACGTTTATGTTTTCGGCATCCCACAAAGGACCGGTGAGATTCAAAGACAATTTATCCATTTCAAGTCTTCATTATCCAGTCAAGTTTTTCAGGATAGTTTGTACTCGTTTCTATATACCTAGTGAAGTTGTTTCAGAATAGTGAAGGGGCGGTCGGGTAGCCTAGTGGTTAAAGGTACATGGGTACAATGTGTGAAGCCCATTTCTGGTGTCCCCCGCCGTGATATTGCTGGAATATTGCTAAAAGCGGCGTAAAACCATACTCACTCACTCACTCACTCACTCAGAATAGTGAAACTGTGTATTTGTCCAGATCTACTTGATTCTTTATTATTCAGTCAAGTTGTTTCAGAATAGTGTGGGAGGGCGGAAGGTCGTTGGTCCGATCCCCGTCCTCCTCATACCAAAAGACGTTAAAAGATGGTACTGGTTGTTATCAAGCATGGCGCTCGGCTTTAAGCAGCTAAAACAAGGACTGGTCGGCTCGGAGTCAGTCTGAATGGGGTATTCATGTCAAACAGTGATATGGTATAAACATGGCATTGGTCCGGACTAGTACAAGTAGGGTTAGAGTTAGGGTTAGGGTTAGGTTAACGTTAGATCTATAAATCGATTTACAATGTACGACTACCGATCAATAGAGCAAGGGTCCCCTTGAGCCGGACGCACCCGACCACTTTCGCAACTTTCAATTTGATTTAACGTAAAAGGATAAGCGTGGTGAAATGAAGTCTGTCTAAATTATCTGGACAGATATCGAGACTTGCTTGGGATGATCCGGTTGTGCCATCGGTGTCCCCTTTAAAGCGTATTTAGGGGCGCTGTTTCGGGAGGTGTTGTTCATGAATGAACGTACACGACAGCACGACCAGATCACTTTAAGTTAACTGTTCCGACAATGCCCATATTTGGTCATATATCAATATTCATGCGCAACCAGATTTTGCAACCGGTTTCAGTTTGGTCTGTCAACGAACGAAAGTTGTTATGTATTTACACTTAAATATATTTTTAACGTGGGTAATAAATAAAATACCACACTCATTCTCGTTAGATACCATTTTTACGAAACTCGTGAACTTTCTATGGTATCTGACCTCGCTTTCGCTCGGTCAGATACTATTGAAAGTCCACTCGTTTCGTAAAAATGGTATCTAATGAGAATGAGTGTAGTATTCTCTATGTATCTGTTCAGGCGTACTTGTTTCTTCGTTACCCAGTCATGTTGCTTCGGAATAGTGTGTATCTGGTCAGACGTACTTGTTTCTGCGTTACCCAGTCATGTTGCTTCAAAATAATGTGTATCTGTTCAGACGTACTTGTTTCTTCGTTACCCAGTCATGTTGCTTCAGTATAGTGTGTATCTGGTCAGACGTACTTGTTTCTGCGTTACCAAGTCATGTTGCTTCAAAATAATGTGTATCTGGTCAGACGTACTTGTCTCTGCGTTACCCAGTCATGTTGCTTCAAAATAATGTGTATCTGGTCAGTCGTACTTGTTTCTTCGTTGCAAAGTCATGCTGCTTCAAAATAGTGTGTATCTGTTCAGACGTATTTGTTTCTTCGTTACCCAGTCATGTTGCTTCAAAAAAATGTGCATCTGGTTGGACGTACTTGTTTCTTCGTTACCCAGTCATGTTGCTTCAGTATAGTGTGTATCTGGTCAGACGTACTTGTTTCTGCGTTACCCAGTCATGTTGCTTCAAAATAATGTGTATCTGGTCAGACGTACTTGTCTCTGCGTTACCCAGTCATGTTGCTTCAAAATAATGTGTATCTGGTCAGACATACTTGGTCAATCGTACTTGTTTCTTCGTTGCCAAGTCATGCTGCTTCAAAATAGTGTGTATCTGTTCAGACGTACTTGTTTCTGCGTTACCAAGTCATGCTGCTTCAGAATAGTGTGTATCTGTTCAGACGTACCTTTTTCTTTATTATGGGGTCATGTTGCTTCTGAATAGTGTGTATCTTTTTAGATGTACTTGTTTCTTCATTATCTGGTCATGTTGCTTCAGAATAGTGTGTATCTGGTCAGACGTACTTGTTTCTGCGTTACCCAGTCATGTTGCTTCAAAATAATGTGTATCTGGTCAGACGTACTTGTTTCTTCGTTGCCAAGTCATGCTGCTTCAGAATAGTGTGTATGTGTTCAGACGTACTTGTTTCTTCGTTACCAAGTCATGCTGCTTCAAAATAGTGTGTCTCTGTTCAGACGTACTTGTTTCCTCGTTACCAAGTCATGCTGCTTCAAAATAGTGTGTATGTGTTCAGACGTACTTGTTTCCTCGTTACCAAGTCATGCTGCTTCAAAATAGTGTGTCTCTGTTCAGACGTACTTGTTTCCTCGTTACCAAGTCATGCTGCTTCAAAATAGTGTGTATGTGTTCAGACGTACTTGTTTCCTCGTTACCAAGTCATGCTGCTTCAAAATAGTGTGTATGTGTTCAGACGTACTTGTTTCCTCGTTACCAAGTCATGTTGCTTCAGAATAGTGTGTATCTGTTCATAAAACTGGAATATTCCTGAGTGCGGGGTTTAACACCAAACAAACCAAACAAATAAGACGTTCTTGTTTCTTCATTATCAGGTCATGTTGCTTCAGAATGGTGTTTATCTTGCATCTATTCACGCCTGATTGAAGGCTAAAAGCTATAGGGTATTTTGGCGCATGGGAGGTCCAGTCATTTAAGGTTTCTGCAATTCAGCATTAAGACGCAATTCACTCACACACTGTAGGGTATTTCATCGTGTCTCACGGAAAACAGAACGCATTGGCTCTGTAGCTCACCTGCAATATGTATTTACAATTTAATAAAGACTCAACACTGAAGCTACTGTCAGTTATGAAATAGATACTAGATTATCATTGAGGACCAGGAGACCGGCCATTTTATGTTCTGTGCATAACTATTTTTTTTCAACCACATCTGGGACAATTTATTTTGGGGGATAAGACTATCAAGTGGTCGGGCCCCAACTGATAAATGTTGAAGTAGGAACAGTATTTGAAGAAAAATTGTGATAGTTGCTACTGTAAAGCACTTGTGCAATACAAACAAATGGTCTCTACGTAAAACTTGATTCCTTGAGAGAGATGGTCGGTTAGCATAGTGGTTAAAGCATTTGCTCTTTAGCCAAAGACCTGGGTTCGATTCCTGACATGGGTACAATGTGTGAAGCCCATTTCTGGTGTCCCCCGCCGTTATATAGCTGCTACAAAGAGGCGTAAACCCATACTCACCCACTCACCCACTCACTCACTCACTCACTCACTCACACGAATCCTTGAGGAGACTTTTTGAAATATGACAAAGTGTTGTCATTTCATGAAAGTGTAACCGGAAGCAGAACACCACCTTTTCCCGAATGTCCTAGATCTCACAGATATACCAGATCTTGTTTACAATATTTAAATATTAAATCATGCTTCCCCTTGGTAACTTCCCTTCAGAAAGACACCATGACTGCCAACCGAGGATATCAAACAGGCCATATTATTAGTAACTTACTGCGAATTTATCTTATATGAAACAATTAATACGAAATACTTACACAAAAAAGAGTAAAATCTTATAAAAGTTGTTGTCTGTTAATGTCTTGTCTATAATTCAATATGCAACTAAAATAAGTAAATCGTCAAGCTTCACGTTGGTGTAAGGGTATATTCTTCATGTCCTAGGAGCGACCAGTCCCCCTCAAACACAACCACAACATGAAACTTCCCTGATGAGGGGAAACCAAAACGAGGATTCCGAGGTCAATGATCCACCAACTAATCTGGGTCCACGTTGTTCCTGTACAGATGATGCTAGAGGGCGAGGAGTTACCTCGATCAGGCTTTGCATGACTCTCTGTGGTTTGCAGTCATCTGCTGGAAACCAAATTTTCCAACAACAACTCAAGGCCATTCCGGCACACTGTTGGGCAGCAGAGAAAAAACTGGTGGTGGTATTGTAAATGGTATATAATATTGACACACAAGTTACATATACGCGCGCGCACACACACGCACGCACGCACGCACGCCCACACACGCAAGCACACAGGCACACACACATGTCCCCTCCCCCTACACAAGCACACACACACACACACACACACACGCACTAATTTCATCGTAGTTAAATTACTTTTTACATGCAGAGTAAAGAACTATGTGACAGGTCATTTATATTATTGAACTTTAGACATGAATTCCAATAATAAAATGTGAACGAGTGTTGCAAGTTTTCGTGTTTTGTGTCATGTTTTCTCAGATTCTGATAACCCTTCGGAATTCGTGGGCAGAATATTTCTCTAGAACGACCTCTGGTAATTCACGTCTTGTTCACATCGAAGCAGGCTTCACTTCGTCACGCTGCGTTTCTTCACATTTAAACCAATTGTAAGTACTGGTCAGGTGCAACATGCTTATAGGACTTTACCCATATACTTTTGGCGTACGTATTTATCATTTCACTACCCGTTTCTTCACCCTGTGAACAATTTGGCACCGTCGTACCCCGAAGACCAATAACCTTATCATGTCAGGTCAAGCGTAACATACAACCTTAGAACTGATCATATCACAGTCCTCGTTCATAACGATATATAATAAAATAAAATATAGAATATCCAGTCGACGAGAGAATATTGATAGTTTAGGCATAGAAGAATCTAATGTTGCTCCATATTCCTCCTAAGGTGGCAGAACATTTAACATTTTACTTACCAAAATATGGCTTGATAGTGCCTCTAAAACAGATTCGACTGATGGTACGCGACGCAAGCATTGGGTTTTTAGCAAACATGCGGCAGTCATTAAAATGGTACAAATCTGAACCATATCTGGTTATAGGTGTGCATGCTTAATCACGAATCCAAATAGATATGGAGAAATGGGTTCACCTCGAAAGTTTGATTGGAAAAATAATAACAAACTGCTCTGCAAATGTTAATTTTATCGAGAACTTTTTACCTCATTAACAAAATGTTGGAAATTTTGAAGCTCGGGAAATAACTGATTTTTTAAATTTTCCTCAAATGAGACTTTTGATATGTGTAATAATGCCTTATGGTAGTAAAACAGATGAAATCAATTTGTTTGTGGTTGTCCATTTTCATTCACAAATTGACAGGACTAGTATCCTCTATTGTTTTCATTCGACACCGAGGTGCCATGTTTAGTGTCGTCGAAAAATCGGCAGCTACCTGTCCCCTAGTTTAGGAAGACAGGAGCCCAGTCAAAAAGTGCCTTAAATGAGCATTTGTTAAGAAAAGCGTCAATAGTCAGCTTTTCCTTTAGGTCGAGCAATATTCCACCAGCTATAGCCTACTACGTGTCACTAGTTCTGAGGTGCTATAAAGCATGCTCTTTCTACCAAGATGTCAAAGAGCATCATACGACACAGAAGTTGCTTGATCAAGGTTACATCATTCAAGGCTTCAGTAAAGATTTCAAGGAAAGGCTCGAGGAATCATTTCAATACTTTGAAAGAAAACTAATCATAGTGTTTATTTCCAAAAGAAGGACGTTACCTAAAGGTCTCGCTATCTCCAAAAACACTTTTGAAAGCCGAGTAATTGTTTGTTGATTAGGTTTATTAAACAGAAAGGTATTGATATATTTCCGAATCTCTTGTTTCCAAAGCTTCACTTCAGTAGGTTCATCATGCCTATGCAAGTCTAGTTTGAAGCAATTGTTTTCCCCTTTTGCGGATGTGTTTCTTGATGCACACGAATCGGAATTTCTGCCTGGACTGCAAAGTCAAAACAAGGTAATTTGACCAAAATGTTTAACTTAAGGTCACCTCCCTACGATAGGTCAAACACTCATTTATACCGAGTGGCATGTTCCGAAACGATTTGAGGGAGCCCTTTCCACTCCTCTTGCAGCGTTTGCCCATTTCGGTTAACGTAACGTCGTCCACGTCTCCCAATTATGTACCAGACGTATCCTGTGGCGGTGAAGTTTAGGAGTCATGGCTTACATTAAAGCAAAAGTAAAGAGCGTACATGTTACTGTTACTATCCTGAAGGTTCTTCGATTGGAAATGTCAAATTCACTAATGAGCCCCTACCCATGTGCACGGGGCAATTTCAAGTCCATGTGCAATGTTTCGGGTTTGTTGAGGCATAATTTTTTTTATGCCGACACCATTCTCTCATTTTCCAAAGCTGAATTTGCTTCTGACGATCCGATCCGATCCGATCCGATAGTTCATGATTCCCTACTTTGTTAAGTGTATATTACATTACATTACGTTATATATATATATATATATATATATATATATTCCAAAACATAAAAGGCCACAATCGACACAACTGACAACTGAAATATTGGACCGTAGTTCTTTTATTATACTGATTCCAGAGGACGTGTAACGAACGTTGTGCGAACTTCAGCGTAAGGCAACATAACATATTTGGGGGTAGGTCTGTAATCACTATGACTGCCTGAACGCCACTGCATATTGTTCATGGAAGGGTCACTGGACAGTGTTCCCGAGACAACATACATGCGCCAACAGTTGTGCCGTTTGGGCTAGTGCAATGGCCAGCCATCGGTCCTGACCTTCACCCCCATAGAACACGTCCGGACATGATTGGGAGACGTGAACGCCGTTACTGTAGCCGAAATGGGCAGACGCTGCAAGAGGAGTGGACAAGGCTCCCTCAATTTGTTTCGGAACACGCCATTCGGTATAAATGAGTGTTTGACCAAACGTAGGATTGTGACCCAGTATTGATCAAATGATCTCAAACCTTCATTTTTCACTAAATACTTCTGTTGTCTTTCTTGGTTGTTTGCACCCTTACAATACACCGCAACATGTTCTGTAGATTGCCATGTTACACCCAGTCCTCCCTTTATCACATCGATTCAATACCCATTCGTCACCACTCGCCCCTTTCTGAAACCTGCAATGTTCCCCCAATCGATGAAAGTAACTACGACAAACCAATCAGATTGCGTGTATGTCTTTAAGTATTTCGGTCAAAGAATCCTTCAGAAATAATGTTTGATTTTACGTTTATCTTGTATTTAAAAATATGCCCAAGATACAGATAAATTTGTTCAATCATACTGCATAAAAACTGAAGTCCGTCTGCACTATACATGATATAAGGCGGAAACAGGCGTGAATCATTTCGCATGAGTTGACAATTCTTTTAGCAGGTTTGTGTTGGTCATAAATGTTCATTACCATCACTCGATACTATTTGTATTTCTGTATTCATCTGTTATTTTCGAATATTCCCTACTCTTTTGGAAAGTATAGTAAAAGAAGAAAAGGTTAAGCCTAGTGGTTAAAGCGTTCGCTCGTCACGCCGAAGACCCGGGTTCGATTCCCTACATTGGTACAATGTGTGAAGCCCATTTCTGGTGTCCCCCGCCGTGATATTGCTGGAATATTGCTAAAAGCCGCGTAAAACCATACTCACTCACTCACTACTTCTGACTGTGTACATACTCTTGCCACTTCGCTATGACATATAAGTCAATGTTCATACTGTCAAAACTAGCACTGGCATATGTGACACAATGGTATTAACTGCTTGTAAATATAACCTTAAAAATGTCATTATGAACTTAATCAGTACTGCAATATTTGTTGCAAAATTGAATGGAGAAGAATTGTATGTGATGCAATATCCTTATATGAGGAAGATCGGTAGAAACTCAGACTGTCACTGAGAGAGGATCTGGAATAATGAACCAGCGTACTTGGGATAGCATATCAGTAGATAATAAATTATAACTACAAATCCTCTGAGAAACGGATTAGTATGCTATTGTCTATTGGCTTTTGAGGTAAGTTCGAACATCTCCTATATACTTCATCTCTTATATACTCCATCTCTTATATACTCCATCTCCTATATACTTCATCTCCTATATACTTCATCTCCTATATACTTCATCATCTTTATACTTCATCCCCTATATACTTCATCAACTATGTACTTCATCTCCTATATACTCCATCTCCTATATACTTCATCTCTTATTTACTTCATCTCTTATATACTTCATCTCCTATATACTTCATCTCTTATATACTTCATCCCCTATATACTTCATCTCCTATATACTTCATCTCTTATATACTTCATCCCCTATATACTTCATCTCCTTTATACTTCATCTCTTATATACTTCATCTCTTATATACTCCATCTCCTATATACTCCATCTCCTATATACTCCATCTCCTATATACTTCATCTCTTATATACTTCATCTCTTATATACTCCATCTCCTATATACTTCATCTCCTATATACTTCATCTCTTATATACTTCATCTCCTTTATACTTCATCTCTTATATACTTCATCTCCTATATACTTCATCTCTTATATACTTCATCTCTTATATACTTCATCACCTTTATACTTCATCTCTTATATACTTCATCTCTTATATACTTCATCTCCTATATACTTCATCTCCTATATACTCCATCTCTTATATACTTCATCTCCTATATACTCCATCTCTTATATACTTCATCTCTTATATACTTCATCTCCTTTATACTTCATCTCCTATGTACTTCATCTCCTATATACTTCATCTCCTATATACTTCATCTCTTATATACTTCATCACCTTTATACTTCATCCCCTATATACTTCATCAACTATGTACTTCATCACCTTTATACTTCATCCCCTATATACTTCATCAACTATGTACTTCATCACCTTTATACTTCATCCCCTATATACTTCATCAACTATGTACTTCATCACCTTTATACTTCATCCCCTATATACTTCATCAACTATGTACTTCATCACCTTTATACTTCATCCCCTATATACTTCATCTCCTATATACTTTATCACCTTTATACTCCATCTACTATATACTTAATCAACTATGTAATTCATCACCTTTATACTTCATCTCTTATATACTTCATCTCTTATATACTCCATCACCTTTATACTTCATCACCTTTTATACTTCATCCTCTATATACTTCATCAACTATGTACTTCATCACCTTTATACTTCATCCCCTATATACTTCATCAACTATGTACTTCATCACCTTTATACTTCATCCCCTATATACTTCATCAACTATGTACTTCATCACCTTTATACTTCATCCCCTATATACTTCATCAACTATGTACTTCATCACCTTTATACTTCATCCCCTATATACTTCATCTCCTATACACTTTATCACCTTTATACTCCATCTACTATATACTTCATCAACTATGTAATTCATCACCTTTATACTTCATCTCTTATATACTTCATCTCTTATATACTCCATCACCTTTATACTTCATCACCTTTATACTTCATCCCCTATATACTTCATCCCCTATATACTTCATCAACTATGTACTTCATCACCTTTATACTTCATCTCCTATATACTCCATCTCCTATGTACTTCATCAACTATGTACTTCATCTCCTATATACTCCATCTCCTATATACTTCATCACCTTTATACTTCATCACCTTTATACTTCATCCCCTATATACTTCATCAACTATGTACTTCATCACCTTTATACTTCATCTCCTATATACTCCATCTCCTATATACTTCATCACCTTTATACTTCATCACCTTTATACTTCATCAACTATGTACTTCAGCACCTATATACTCTATCTCCTATATACTCCATTCCTATATACTTCATCCTCTATGTACTTCATCTCCTATGTACTTCATCTCCTATGTGCTCCATCTCCTATGAACTTCGTCACCTATATACTTCATCTCCAATGTACTCCATCTCCTTTATACTTCATCACCTATATACTTCATCTCCCATGTACTTCATCTCCTATATACTCCATGTCCTATGTACTCCATATCCTATGTACTTAAGGAGGCACGGGTGGCCCAGTAGTCTAAGGCGCCGCGATTCGCTGTGCAGAGTTGCGTCCCTTGGGCACGCCAGAAACCTATGATTGTGGGTTCGAATCCCGGTTCGCCCCGATTATGTTCCTAGGTTTGTCAGCACCATACCCGTGATCGTGGGTTTCACCGAAGTGGTAAACGTCTGAGACCTGCATCACTTCGGGCTTTCCTCCCACATTAAGCTGACACGCCGTGATATAACTGGAACACTGTTAAAAGCGCCCTTAAACACAACTCACTCACTCACTCACTCCTATGTACTTAATATCCTATGTACTCCATCTAGTTGGTAATTCATCTGCAGGGTACTTCATCTGCTAGGTAATTCATCTACTTGGTGCTTCGTCTGATCTGAAAGGTGATAAATGAGAAGGCTACTGCTTTTGACTCATGAATACATTGTAAACCTGGTTTGGCCTGAATTTACAATAGGGTAAATATGTGCATAGACGAGCTGCGAGCGGGCGTCCCGGCGCCTTGTATGGAGCTCAGTCACATTTGGATACGGCTAGGCTATACCGAGGAATACGTACGTGTGTATAGCTGCTGCAAACGGTCACTATGGATACGGACAAGGGTAAGTATATGCCAAATGGCTATACCCATATGTATTATCTGCAATAACATTACAAACTCTTATCGTAATTGGATGACGACAAAACGTATGCTTACATTTTTAATGCTATCCTCGCGTGTATTCTGTGTTTTACATCGTTTGACGTGTGTAGACGTTTGTGTGTCAGCCTCGGGACAGTTGCAGCAACAGTTTGACAATTGCCGAAGGGCAGATTCTTTGTGCTAGACAAATGTGGAAAGTAGAAACACGTTTTAGTGGACAGGTTTAGTGAGCACCACAAGGACGTTTTAATGAATGCGATATGACAGGAGGTTGATTATTATACGTAGGTATTACATAGATATAAATGCCAACTGACGGCAAGATGTGCACATGTTTTTTCAGATTATATAACTAAAACATTTACCATGGTCTTCCCAAAACTATGTCTAAAAGTCAGAATTTTATTAAGTCATAAATGAATACGCAGATCTCCGGCTCCGCCACACAAAGAGACGTTAAAAGACGTTACTTGCCGTTATCCTGTCTGCATTAAGGGGATAACACAAGGACCAATAGACTCGGAGTCTGTTTACTGTGTCTGAGTAGGGTATCCATGTTAAACTGCGGCATGGTACCTCAATGGACTTGCACTTTTAAATCGGCATTGGTCCGGACACACACACAGACACATACACACACACGCACGCATGCACGCACACACACACACGTGCATGAATATCGCTATATAAGTGCAATAATCTGCGCGTGCACCGATTCATCAATGAACTTCTACACGACTACAAGATCGTCACACCGGCACACCATGCCGTTGCAGATCAACAGTGCAAGTTTCACGCATGTCATCCTTGCCCTTGATGCTCACGTGATAACATATAAGTTGTTGCAGGATCACTAGGGGTTCATTGGCCTTTACGCGTCCTGCGTCAGGTTTGATATCGAGGGACGCCTAAAACCCCATGTACCCCGAGTGATCCTGCTACAGCGGATATGTCTTACCGACAGTACCCTTTCACCTGAAGCTTTGTGTCTGTGTGTTGGCTCTTCGCTGGATATGCGACAACGCCATTTCAAGAATCATAAGAAATTTCCATTGTACGATTCGGAATCAGACAGACAGTTTATTTGATTACAAGTATATGGCCAAAAGAACAAAAGTACAACATGCATACACTAACATTGTACAAGTTACAGCGCTACCTAGACATTGTAGTTTCAGAACACGTAGAACGGGTTTACAAATACAACTTTCATAATAGATTTATATTGAGTTCTTATCCCTATTACGAAGTATGTGGTGAAATAACACGGATAACTTAAATAACATGTTCGCATCCTCGGTATGAAGCATATCAGCTTTCCTCGAGATGGTCCATTTCTAAAATACTGTTGTATGTACTTTTTCCTTAAACCTGCATATTCTGGACATATTAATAGTATGTGATATTCATCTTTATTTGGGTGGTTACAGTATGGACAGGGTGTATTTTCAATTGCCGTTTTTTTTTTTTAAACTCTAGCTGCCCTTGTGATAAAAGCTTGTACATTGCATCTAAATTTCGTTAAGACTCGACGGAGATGCACTGCTTTTATTGACGTTGGGTAGGTTCCAGATGAAAAGATTTTTTGAATTCAGAATTATAATGTACACAATTTGATTCTGAATCATCTTGTGGCAATAAAGCTGACTTGATTTGACATGGTTTGAACTGAAGCACTGATGCCCGAGCAACATTTATCCTTATAACATTATATGTAGTTTCAAGAAAAAGAAAATAAACAAACAGAAGTTAGAAGGGTAGTATTAATCGTGTCAATGCTTTCAACCAACTTGAAATTTCAAGATGCTATGTTGAAATTTCAAGTTACTAAGTTGAAATTTCAAGTTAGTATCTTGAAATTTCAACATAAAATATGAAAATTCAACATAATAAATTGAAATTTCAAGATAGTTTCTTGAAATTTTAACATAACATCTTGAAAATTTACGATACTAACTTGAAATTACCAGATGCTATGTTGCAAAACAAACAAAAAACAAATGGTAACACAAAACTATTTATTGCTAATAATGGTAAACAACACAATAACGGCAAACTCAACGGCCATGTTTACTTTCTGATAGTGTGTCACTGTATGATTGATAAGGCCAAACACATTTGAACAAGACATCTATCATTAAACCATAAACCATCAACCTTATGCAGCTCTGTAAAGTTGACCCCTAAAGAGGTTGCGTTGGCTGGATAATGTTTTGCATACCACGACGGCATGGTGGTAATCACGTCGAGGCCAAGCATACATTGTTTGTTGTTTGTTTTATTATTCATGTTATGAGTAACTTTACATGCAGTCGGGTACAATTACACACAGTAGGTGTAGTCCCAAAATCTGATCACATGTTCTGTACTTAATGTACCTTTACGACCCCCAAGATGGGGAAAGTGTGTGTCTGGAATCCCAACATGGTTAGCCTTTGACTTTAGACATTTCCCCAAGGCAAGAGAGTTAACTGACTATAAAAGTCCAGTTTCCACCCTTGCCGAGCTACGCTTGTTTTTCTGGGCTCGATCGTAGCGCCACCAGTGGCTATTACGAGTTCAATTCGGTTTATTTCGTAAGTGTAGGCCATCGGCCCATAGTTACATTTGTATTACAATGGACGTGATGTACACAGCTGTTATTGTTGTGACAATAATGTACTACGAAGTGACATCGCTTGATAGATATAGATAGCTAGACGTTCAATTAATTTACAATCAGTTGTAGACATAATGATATTCAATTTTTGTATGGTCGGATATTCATTAAATGTTTGTGGTAAGTGATCCATGCGTAGCTTGTTATAACCGGACCAAACTAACAAAATATGATACTCGTCCTCCACATAACCAGCATGACAAACACAACATAGTCTTCTGTTACGTGGGATATCAGCATATCTCCCAGTTTCAACACACAGCTGATGCGAAAAACATCTAAACCGAGCTAGCGCCACTCTCAATTTACTGACGGTCACACAGCTAAGATACAACTCTGTAGCAAACGATACCTTGAATAGAGAATACGAGAAAGATTTACTACCCTTTACCAGAAGACTATGCCAATCCTGTTCATAACTACATTTCAGACGCGACATAAATTCTGTCAAAAACGAATCAGGATGACTTATACACTGGTTTTCTCATACAGAGCCAAAACCCAAACAGAACAATAAAGATTTACATTTTGATACCCAATTAATTTTACCATTACTTTCTGCCTGAAGCATCATATAATAACATTTCTTTGGAAAGCGACAATCGGACATACTCAATAACCTTATCCAATAACCAATAACTCTTTTGTATGCATAAATATATAATGGATACCGCCCACATTCACCTCGAACCATGTTGTTGGGTGTTGACGATTTGACACCTAGAAAGCGCTTGCATGCCAATGTATGTATAGTTTCCATTTCATCATTCTGGTGTAGACCCCAGACTTCGGAACCATAGAGCAAAATTGGGACTATTTTCATATCAAATATTTTAAAATATAAGTCCTATCGAAGAGGATGCAATTTTATCAATGACTTTAAATTTCCAAACATTGCTTTTTTCCCCTGTAGACCAGCATTAGAAAAATGACTTGACCAGGACAGGCTTCTCGTAAAAAGTAACGCCCAAATATTTATAGGAGGACACACACTCCAACTTTAGACCTTTATAGTACCAAATCTCTTTTCTTGACAACACTCCACCATTCTTAAAAACAACCACCTTGGTTTTATCCAAATTGACATCTAGATCATAATCATTACAATATTTTTCTAGAAAATTAATACGCTTCTGAAGTCCACCTATAGTATCTGCAATTAAAATAATATCGTCTGCAAAATTAATAATAACAGGAATATCTCTGTAATATCAGGATGAAGTTGTATTCCTGGTCCAGAATTCTGTTCAACTTCAGCAGCTACATGTAGTTCGTTAATAAACATCGAGAATAAAAGGGGGCTTAACACACAACCCTGACGTACTCCTCTTGGACACCCGAACATTTAAGAAAATGTATGTTTAAATTTAACACTGGCCTTAACAGCTGTATAAATAGACCGTATAGCTTTTATCATTTTGCCAGCGACACCTTTATTAGCTAGTACTGACCATAATTTCATCCGGTTTACACTGTCAAAGGCTTTTGCAAAATCGACAAACAAACCATATACCCTACCCTTACACTTACTGATATATCTCTGGATAATACACTGTAATATAAAGATATTATCCATGGTGGAGTAATCATGACGAAAACCAGCCTGGGACTCGGCAATTTTACCATAGACCTCACACCAAGACGTGACCCTTCTGTTCAAAATAGAAACATACAACTTACTCAGTGCACTAAGGACTGATATACCCCTATAGTTGGATGGGGAATGGATGTCTCCTCGCTTATGTATCGGAACAATAATTCCCAAAGACCAAGAGTCAGAAAAGTATGCATTATCAAACAACTTATTAAACAACACTGTAAGATACGGGACAAAAATATCATTCGCATATTTAAAAAATTCTGAAATGAGGTGGTCATTTCCTCCGGATTTATCAATTTTCAAAGAGTTGATTGCACAAAGCACCTCCTCTTGTGAAATGGGGGAGTCCAGAATATAGCAACTCATATCATCATGACTATCATTAATAGTCGTGTCGGTGTTAACCATATCTTCAGCTCTCGGATTGTCAAACACATCTTTAAAATGATCGACCCATTGTTCTAGTGCTATGTTAGGTACACGAGTTGCATTTACTATTTGGAAGACTAGATAAAACCTTATTACGCATACATTCATTATAACTTTTCTTTTTATCACGTAATAAACTTGTATAAGTATTTCTTGATTTTAAATAACTAACTAAGGTGCTATCATTCTTAAGGTGTCTATATATTCTGAGACACCTCTCTCTCTCCCACCTGTAGTGCCGACACACGCTATCAAACCAGGGTTGTGTGTT